GTCGCCCGACGGCATCAGCCAAGGCCAACGCTCCAGACCCGGAACGACACCGTACACCAACATCTGCAGCTTCGTTGAGACACCGGTAACGAGCCGATGCATTGCCTCGTGCAATTCCGCACGAGATTCCGCGATCTGGCCCGGAGTCAAATCCAAGATACTGTCGGCGACGACGTCGATAGCCCAGTCCAGAGTCGGGTGTTGGACTTCTACCCCCGACCCTGGGCGGTGCGCTTGCTGCCGCAGCAGGATTTGCGCCAGCTGTTGCGAGCTTTGTCGCACGGGGTTGAGATCGAATCGGCGCTGTAGCCCCGGCTTAATGATTTCCGTGAAAGAGTCGTGAAGGGCGCCATGGGAGTCGATGATGTTGACGCCGAAGATGCGAGCGAAGGTGCTGTGGGGGAGCTTGTTGATGTTTCCGCCTTTGGCGAAGATCCCGTCGTTGCGGAAGACTTGGGCAACCAGGTCCGGGCGCGTCACCACCACGACCCAGCGGCCCCCATGCCACAAGTTCACGGCGCCATGCCTTTCGACCACTGGGCGAATCCGTCGGTCGTATGAGTCCGCTCGTGTCAGTCCGGTGGTGATGTCATAAAGCGTCTGCCATGGGGGGATGGCTGGGAAGTCGGGCGCCGGGAGGTTGTGGAGCGTTGCAACGGTATATGAGATAACGGCGAGGCATACGGCAAGGATGAATAAAATTATGACAGACATGTTGATGTCTACATCGGTGGCGTAGGCAAGGTGAAAGCAGTGACTGTAAGGTACATAGGACCTTTCTTTGGAGAAGCCACCGAGGTGCCTCCAGTAGAAATAAGTATCTTACTGGAAGGCACCCCTTCACCGCTCATTGAGCGAAGCAAGGGTGACCCGAGATGACGACGACACCTTTTGATGCCTGTCATAGGATTTGCTTCCTACGAGTCAGACCGGATGATCTACATTGCATGGGAGTTCTTATCTGTGACATACCACGACTCGGCATGGCTGCTGTCGCCTGGCACCTGGTTGGTGTATGCTGCAGCCCGGGAACCGCACTGATGCTGCTGATGCCATCAAGTATCAGAATTGTGCTTTTGGAATGTGTGGAATTTGCTTTCAGAGGTGTTTTTCTCACGGCCCGATTGAGACGAACATCCTCCCATCTTGGCGAGTTAAGGACAGGCGCTCCAAAGACATCACATAAGGCAGGCGTTGCTACCAAATCAAGAGTACGGCCTCGGTCATACAATGGAAAATCCAGCATCTTCTGTCGATATAGAACAAGCTCGCTATGTAAAATGAAATTTTTGCAAAACTGTCTATCTTTCCCTTTCACTGGTCCCAAAGCAGATATTGAACCTAAAGCTACCTCTACCTCAAAGCTCAGCAACTAAGCCTCTATGCTCGGGTCCGATACGACTCAGATCTGGTTATAAACGGAGAATCAATTAAGGAGCATACTACCAATGGAATTGTACGAATTGATGAGTCGGCTCTACCAGGTAAGTAGTTACCATGTACGAGCTGCCTACTTACGGAAAAGAGTCAATGGAACGGACTTGGAGAACAGTCCGGACAGTCTTTCCCCCGAGCGGTGTGCATTGTGTGCAGAGACCAAGACCCTTGGTGCCTCAGGCACCGGCAACCCCACCACGCTCCAAATATTCTTCTCGATCTAGGCTACTTCAATGAGCTGGCTCTTATTGACTGAATACTACAGTGGCTAAGGATATACATAAGCAGATGAAACCAGGTTACTTAAGAATCACCAAACCGGCACAATCGAGTCCATGCTCCCACTTTGGTGAAGCCGCGATCGGCTCGTATACAGAGGCGCCGATCTGCAGCTCCATACCCATCTTGGAACCAAGATCAGAGCTGGGGTGGGGAGTGCCCACCCGTTCATACGCCAACACGGGCGTCCAATATCCGCGACCTGCGACCACGGAATTGAATCTATCTGATCTCTACGGCTCATTGGGTGAGTCTGAATCATGACCTGCAGCCCCTCCCTCCACTTTCTTTCACCTCCGCCCGATGCAGCGGAACCACTCGCCCCCAGTATCAGCGGTGATGTGCTGCCTGGAGCAATTGGCAGAATCCAGGCGTGTCCGTCATCGATCATCGATTCGAACCTGATCCCCACCGCCAGCCCCTTTTTCTATACGGAGCTCGAAGTCCACATACGTAATGGGGTCGACAGTGGGGTAGAATCAAGGCCTGTGAACACATATAGAAACATGCAAATCGCGCCCAGCCGGCAGGCAATGCGTCCTTTCAGCTCTTTCTGTGATCCAGCACCGAGCCCTTCCTTCCCCCTTCATCAACTCTCCAGTCTGCCCAAAGAAACAACCCACCACACAACCATGCAGATCGACGTAGGATACCTGATCGGGTCATTCGAGCAATTCGCCAAGACGGCATCCAGGTCCGCAGCCCATGTGCAGGCCGCGGATGATGGTCCGGTCGACTTGGTCTGTCCTATCCCAAACAGACAGACTTTCCGCGAACTGACTTATCGATAAACCACAGGCGATGCGCGCCATGCTGGATGACGTTGAGCCCGAGCGGGCCTCGGCCGTCCGGGACCTGATGCTATCGGAATACGATTATTCCGACCAAAGGTTCTCCGGCGACCAAGCTGAATCCCAGTGGGTCCCGGTCGGCCAGCAGGAATCTGTGAGCCGGGCTATCTCTAGCGTAAGTTCCCACACCCGCGGTCGCATCCAGAAGTCAGGGTCATGTTTTGTCATGGTGTGCGTGGTGACTAATTGGCGTCGTCTTGTGAGGGGGGCAGTGCATCAAGCAAACCGCAGGTTTTATGGAAGCCATCCTGTCGAAAGCGAGTAGGGTTACCTCGCCGCGGGAAAAGGCGAAGATCGCGCATGTATTGCGGGAACTCCACAAGTGTGACACTGTACGTTGCCTGCCTCTCTTCTCCGGGATCTGTTGTCAGTCCCTCGGCAGTCCCGAGTCACCTCGCCTGCTTTTCTGTGTCTGAATGCACGACCCCGAGATTAACGTTCTCCTTCTTGCTCCAGGCTCTATTAGCCGGTGGCCTACAGGCATATGCTCCGACCTGCGCCAACCAGGTCAAGGCGGATCTCGATGAGCTTCTGGACTTGGAGCGTCGATGCATCGACGCTTACTGCTAAATGCGGAACGTAAGTGCAAGAGGGTCAGTTAGGTGGTAGGGCAAGGGGATTACATCTATCACCCGTCGCTAGATTTTCTGCCAGTGTCTTGATGCAGGCAACCTCCACGCATGTTCTCATCACTGTATATAACTTTCTACATTTAAATCAATAGAGACGGCAGTCGTTGACCTGTATACCAAAACATCCTCGGACCAAAGTTGAGGCCTAGGACTGTGTGGCAACCCACCAGTTAACACCTCAACCACGTCGAGACATAGAGATCCAAATGTAGTGAAAATACCGTTTTGGCGATTTCCATAGAGTACAGCGTGCGAGATCCAGGTCGCACCCACGTGATTCGCCTCCTTTGCCCTTCAACATGCTCTACTCATGTCGGTGGCGTGCGAGCGAAGCGGAGCGGGCCGGACCCTATCCACCCTCCACCGGCTCGGGGCAGGGGTAGGTTCTTCATAGAAACCGGCACAGTAGCCATCAGCACCGTCACTTCGGCCGTCAGCCCAAGTAGTTACAGTAAAGTCCGTGCAAGAGGAACCCACGCCACACGGTTTGACAGCGGACTGCGCAAGCACGGAGAGTCACAATTTCGGTACCCAAGTTTGCCAGTTGACACAGAGTGAACGGGGGCGTGTTTCTGGGAAGCGGGTTATCCAGAAGGCTGGGAGGGGAAGGTTTCGGTGATCGGTGCTAAGGAGATGGTTGGTAAATGTTACGTATACTGCAGATATGAGTACGAGGAGCCCAAGGTCCGGTTGCTTGGGGCGTGGATGAGTAGAGGGTCTAGCAATAGGTTAATAAGCCAGTTCAGTGTAGTTGAATGGACGATTGGCAGGCCCTTGATCTGCGCTCAGTCAGCTACCCGGGGCGGAGACGTGTTGTAGCTCCTATGTATGTGATATGAGAAGGTAGAAAAGAAGAAAGAAGGACACAAAGGTTAAAACCCCGCGAGGAACGAGGAGACTCGCAGCCGTGGTCGCCTGCTCCCTTCGCCGCCCAAAAGGCTTCTCTAGGGTCATTGACTACCTAGTAAGCACAGGCACTTCGTCACTCCCTTCTGGTTGCTGCTATAACTCAAGATAGTTTGGCATATTTAGGCCAGGATAGTGGTTGTTTCAGCTCTATCGGAATTTATTCGATGAGAAAACAATGTTACGAGGGACATTTCTTACCTGCCAGACCATGATGGTCGCCCTCGCAGTGCGAGCTGCTGTACAGGTTCCACGGCGTGACAATGGCCCTGCTCAACGATTGCGCAATACATGCCCAGTAATGATGGTTGTCTGGAAAGTGTTCTCATGTCGAAAGGTTACAGGATTCTCGTAGAACACCTCAAAACACACCCCCCTGCGGAAATGTGCTTGAAATGACATGGCGGCATTCTTCGCCACAATGTCTGCTAACACCCGAGGATATCTGCGAGGATATCTGCCCCGCGTGTACTGTACACGAACGGAATAGTCTGGAAGCCTCTCTGCTGGGCAGACTGGTCGTTCGAACAGGGACGCCTCGAAGCGAAGCGCGTATAGGGACGATATTGAATGCAGTGTGCTCGGTGAATCTGCACAAATATAGTGTAGCGTTCAACAGAGCTCTTCACCTCTCGACCGCATGCATTTTCCTTGGTTAGAAGCATTCACTGCACGTAGCAATACCCCCATCTCGGTGGGCTGATAAAAAAAAACCAAAGAAAAGAAATCATGAATTCCGGTCTATCTTGCCTCCACTATTGTCTCGCTCAACATACTGTCAAACCTCCCGCACACGATCTCTGCATAGGCCTTTCCCCTAGACTGCACACACCAGATAATCGAACCTACCCTCAAAAGGTACTCCTGCAAAGCAACAACCGAAGTCCCATCGACCATGTCGAGACCCCTATTGCCTAGAGGGCATCGCGAGCGCCTTTGGTCACCGATGGCCGACCTGCTCAGCGAGGAAGGGTACCGGACCCTTCGACCCGGCACGTCAAAATTCGCCTTGCTGCCCGAACAAGTCCAGGAGTGGCCAGATTTTGCGAAAGAGATCAAAGCCCTTCTCGCGCCCTACTGCGGCAAGTTCGAGCCCTTCGTCCCTGTGGTTCCCCGAGAGGTCTTTGCACTAGCGAATGAGTTGGGGTTGCAGGGCCGCCTCGTCCAATACCCTGCACCCGGTCGGCGAAGTGGCCGATCTGCTTAAGCTTGGGGTTTGCTTTGGGGACGCCCAGTCCGGTGTCAACCGGCTCCTCCTGGAAGTCAAGAAGCAGGAGAAACGCGAAGTCAAAGCAGATCTGAAGCGGAAGATAGGAGACCAGCAGGCCGGGGGAAAGCTCGTTCCCGACGTGGTGATTGCAGACACCAAGACCCATCCCATCCGGGGCGTGGGTGAGGTCAGGACACTGTGGAAATTCGAGCCCGGGAAGAAGCAAAGCTGGGAACAGTTTATAGCCGAGAAACTCGGTGAGTATGGCCCAGAGTGGTGCGGTTTTCTTTTGCTCCAATGACTTTCCTGCATGCTAAACGTTGACTGTGCCGTTCCAAAATTCAAAAGGCCAACCCGCCAGGTACATGGACGACCACTGTGTGCGGTATGGATTCCTCACCATCTACGACAGGACATGGTTTGTGAAGCGGGTCAATGACAACGAGTTCGCCATCTCGCCCCCCATTCACTCGAAGGCTCGCTCCTCAGCCACCGAAGTCTCCAAGAGGGAATGCTTTTTGGCATTCGCTCTTAGGGCATCCGATGCCGCTGGAAGCAAGTACAGTCGGAGATCCGGTCTTATTCTGGTAATTTTCAGCTTGTTAGCTACCCAATCCTAAGGTAGTCTCGATTCTAATGATGTGAACAGACGCGCCGCGGCCGCCGGCAGCGGGCCTTACCCGAGACGGGCCGCAAGGCCATCCAGCGGGGACTCTGAGACGTTCCAAAGATGACCTGCCTCGCCTTTATCTTTTGAAGTCAAATTATGGTAAGGACTGCAGAATATGGTCCAACACAGGTGGGGCACGTTCCGCAGAGTTGAATAATTACGAGCACTTTCTTCGCATCCTGTGGCCGTGTATAGCGTGGAAATAAATCGAACAACGTAGACTGTAGTCTGCTCGACGTTGTCGTGAAGTACAGTACATCTAGGTTTAAACCATCGGGTAGAACAGCCTCTGGGGCGGGCGAGGGCTCTGGACTTCCCGAACTTCTCCTGTCTGCTATGAAAAGGTAGGGAAGGATGTTGTGGAAGACAACTGACCGAATATTAAGTAATGATAACTTCTACCATTGTTTGTAGCATCAATCGCCGCGATGGATTGAAGGTGTTCCTTCACGAAAACCACCAGGAATATACGATCGGGCGGGTCATACGTAACTGTCCATAAGGTACGGTATTTTGTGAAAGGAGGAGACCCCTGGGTGACTGAAGGGATTCTTACATAAGCACAGCACCAGGCGATTCCTCGAGGTTTTCCACGGTTCGGTGATGGGATACGACAGCGTGCAGTGAATACGGTAGGCAAGTAGGTTCCAAGTTCCAGTTCCGATGTTGGTCATCCTGATGGCATCATGGATGGTGACTGTGACTCATGCTGTTAATGGCCCAACATCGGCCACGGGATATAGGGCCTATCCTGCAGTGGTGGAAACAACCTTCTCTTTGCACTTCATCTGCACTCGAGCAGATACAGACATCCAGCGACTACATCGACAAAGCTACTGCCTCTTTCTGTGACTGGCCTTGCTTGTCTGCTTCGTATATCGCTCCCCCTTCCAAAATCAATCTCACTCTCAACTCACTCTATCTATCCTTCATCCGAGACTCACACCTCGTCATCCTTGCTCCCAATCCAAGCAAACCATTAGCTCTGCTGGCGAAGAACCCACGCGTCGAACCTTTTCCTCTTCCCAACATGTGGAGCTTCAACCTGGAAGGACGCGTTGTCACGCTGGGCGAGCGGAAGCTCCATGTTGAGGAACAGTTGATCGAAGTCCTCGACCTCGAACTGGGCGAGCGCAGCCTCCTCCTCAAGGCCCGAAACCTCGAAAGTCAGGCCCTTTCTTTGATCCGGATGCGCTACCAGCTGGACCCGAGGGGGCTCGACATGGACACCGAGGAGGCGAAGCGGGAGGTGCGGGAAATTGCGGAGAACGAGTTCCTTCACGAGTGCGACGCTGTCAAGCTGCTGGGCGACGCGGGGCTGGGACCAAGGTACGCCGACCACTTCATGTGCTCGCAACCGACCTGGATGCCCTTCCCCGGTGGATATGGCTACGTCCTGGCCATGACGGTGCCTCCGGGCGAGAACCTGGACGAGATCAGCGACGAGCTCACCGATCGTCAGCTGGACGGCATCCGGACGCAGCTGGCGCGCATTCTCGAGTAAGTTTGGACTGGTTTCCCCTTCTCTCTCTCTCTCTCTCTCTCTCTCTCTTTTTTTTTCTTTTTCCCTTTCCATCACGAGGAAGGAACTTCGTATCTTGGCTTGAGAAAAGATATGGATATGACAGATTCCCCCTTTTGCGCATACAGGTTACTGCGGAAGAAGGGCCACAAGCTGGTCGATCAACACCCGAGCTATCTGAACTACGACGTCAGCACCAACAAGCTCTACCTAGTCGATCTCACCCACCTTCGCGGCACCGACCCGGCCGGCAAAACCTCGTTTCCGATTGACGAGGAGAGCCCGTATGTGGAAGCGTTCAATATCTGGCGAGCACCATACCGGAAGCCTCAAGAGCGCCCGAAGGAAGCGAGCACGGCGCCGCCACGATCGGGGGACAAGTCGGCCAAAAAAGCCCCCCTCGTCAGCCCACCAAGAAGGAAAATCGGCGCCCATGGAGACATTGAAATTTTCAGACGAAATCGGCGAACACGCGAATACTAACTAGATAGGAACGGCGCTGGGGACCTTTGAGGTCTTTATCTTTGTTGCTAGTTGACCTTCCATACTGTCGCACCGCAAATCCAAACTGCCAATCGAATGAAATCCGAGTTCTATTATTGAGCTAAGGAGCCGAAACTCAGCCCGCCTAGTCGGGCTGGCTCTGAAGGTGTTTTTGTAAGCTAAGAACCCGCGGGATGGGCAGAGTTAGGGCTTTCGGCCCTTGCCAGCAACGCAACAAACAGTAAGGTCACCACCCCTTCCTTTTCGCACAGGCATACTTGCACACGCCCAGAATCTCAACCCCCTCCGTATGCACGCCCCGTCGAGTAGCTGGCCAGAATATATACATGTACACATGGGCGCACCTCGATGTCCTGCAGTCGCGGGCGCTTGTCCTCCCCCCCCCCCCCCGGGCTTCGAGTAACTGTATCTGAAGTATCATGAGATTCCTGCATCAACGATCCAGGAACGCATATTCCCGCCTTGGGCGAGGCCTCGTTCCTAAGTGGGATCGACTATCGCCCGCAGCGGGCGCGCGTTGCCGAAAGAATGGAGCTGGGCTAGGGTCGACGTGGCGATGAAGGCGTTAGTTCATGGATCTGTGAGTCCTGTCGTCAGCGGGTTCGTGTACAGTATGGATTGCTATCCGCGGCGCGGCCAGGTCACCATGGTGGCGGGGTGTGCTAAGCGGAGGTTTATTGGTTTTCGGGCCAGTTTTGGGACGAGTGCGTTTGTCGACCGGGTCGGGTGTGATGCGCCGTTCGCGGTGTGTGCGATCGTGATTGAGGTGTTGGCCGGGTCTGGCGTCGGGTTGGCTTTCTGGGAGGCGCGTGGGTGCACCTCAAAAGATATCGTGATTTTGCGTTTACGTCGTTTTAGTGATGACGGGATGTTAAATATGGATGAGGGAGATATGATGATATTTCAGACAGCCTCTTGTCACAAGTGGTCTTCCACACCTATTCCACCTTAGCACCGGATTGATATTTGACATACTCGTTCATCCCACGCTCAGGCATTGCTCTATGGCCGGTATAATGCATGTAGTAAGAAAAATACGGCTGAGACGGGTAATGCGGGCCTGGGGCCTGAAGTTCGCGATTCACTTTCTCAGACTCGCGCAAATCAACCCTAAGTTTGGTCCTCTCCTTAACATGCACTGCGTTTTGAATAAGGATTTGTTCGTTGGTAAACAATGCAGGATCAACTGTATTAGGATCGATCAAGAACTCTTCATCCTCCGCAAGTACTTGTCCTGCAATAGCGGAAGCAACCATTTTAGTCCGTGAAGTCTTTTTGAGAAAGCGGAGTTTGTTGGTGGCGGTCGCTTTGCGAAACTGACTCTTCTTGGTCCGTAGACCCTCAAAAACAATTGGGGCACGCCCCCTAATGCCTCCACGCCGTTTGTAAACCTCAGGAAACTTTTGGTTCAACTGAATCTTCTTCCAATTTGTTCCAATAAGAGACCTCGGGTGTTCAGAATCATAGACTAACTCTCCACAGTAGGTGCGCAAAGCACGATTGTAGAACTTCGCCCGTACGAAATCTTGATGAGTGAAATACTTTTTATACTTCTTCCGGACACGGGGAGGTTGCCAGAATAAAGCTTCCAGCTGTTGTGCAGTGAGACAAACACGGAGGCATAGAAAGGTACAAAGTAGGGTGTGCATTTAAGGACCCACAAAACACGATGTTCGAGCCAGATTCGGCTCAAAGAAGATGGCCAGATTATCCGCATTGAGGAACCTTATCTTTCTAAAAGATCCTTTCTCCAGTCAAGTCCGCCTCTCGTAACAAATATCTCAAGACTCGTCACCAACTCCCTGCTCGTCTCCCACCAGCATTGGGATAGTCTCATCCATGTTGTTGCACAGATCGTTGACTGCCAATCTCAACTTCCGAAGACCGGTGGGGCACTGGCACAATAGGAGTGCCTGCCTGAATAATTCGCGTGTCTGGAGCTCATCTGAAAGGTTGAGCGCTTGGCTCATGATCTGGTCCACCGTTACGGACAGATAGCGAGGATCCAGCATCTCTTCGATGCACGTCTTCTCTTTTATGGGCCGCTGCACAAATATCTATGAGAATGGACTTGGTTGAGTTGAGGTACGCTATCACTGACCCTGCGTTGGGACTGAGAGGGTCGGCTCGGAGCGTCGGATGGATCGCTCACTTGGCCCATCAAGCCGCCTTTGCGGTTCACGCAGTCTAATTAGGAGATTGGTTCTGATGAGAGCGTGAAGATGATGGATTCAGCTATCTGGCGAACTATCTAATGGGAGGCAAGGCCCTCCACAGATTCATTTCCAATTCATGGGTGAGATTTACAAAGAAGTGACCGCATACCAGGCATGCTTTGCTCGAAATGGCATCTCGAGAGTGTATTGGCTTTCCCCTTTTCCGGGGATGCTCGGCACGAGTTCGAAGCTGCCCAGTTCCTCATCGGAAATTGGGAGATCAAATTCGTTTTCGGAATCAGAATCGGCGTCGTTCTCATCCCATGTTGCAAGGTCCGCCGCTCCACTCAGCGCGAGGACCCGATGTTAAAGCCATTGCATCTCTAGCAAATTAAACGAGAGAAGTGAGTGATCCTGTTGGATTATCCGGGCGGAAGGGTAAGATTTTGCCACAGGTCGATTGTCTCTATGTCCGCTTGGCATCATTCCATCTTGGGATTCCAAATGTCTGGAAGGCATCAGGGATATCAGGGCGCTCGAAGGACACATTCCTGGTAAATTGACATTTGCCCAACAGGAATAGTTGCACCCCGGGAGCGGGTTTATCTTGATTGACATCTAGCGGCTTGAGGGCAAGCATCGCCGTATCCCACATACAGTGAACGGATACTCTGAGGGTAAGACGATTGGCACAATACTCAGTGCCGCAACACCCTAGTACATCTTCGTGCGAATTTGCGATTCTCTCTCAGGACAAAAGTACTCTAGCACGTCCCGGAAATACCTTTCACGCGAGGAATCCCGATCGCGGCCTAATCTATAGGGGTATATATGCACGGAATCGACGAGTAGGTGGCTTGTAGCACTTAGTATCAGACTCATGATGAAAAGCGACGGAAAATGTGCTCACATGTCTTCAGGGCAGATAGGCAGACCTCACTACCAAACCATGTTCTCAGAATGGGATCGCCTTCCCGAGCTCTCTGAAGAATGACCTCTAGATTCTTAGGTCTGCGAACCATAGACAAATCATGGTCGGCGGGTCTATGCTGATCTACAGCATTTGACTCGGCTCGGCTATCATGCGTTACCTAAGAGGGTCCAGAAGCTCATCAAATAAGCCTTTCTTGTATTCTATCATGTTGAGGGGTGGATGGGTTTTCAGATGAAGGTGGATCAGCTTGCTAGGAATGGACTTCTGTCCACCCTCACATACGAAATGTTTTCAAGAGAGTCAATGCGACTGCGGGATAGACTGTGGAATAGAATGAAGAGCGAGTTTAAGAAAATTCGAAAAAGGCTGTCTTTTGCTTCACCCTGCCGCGGAGGAAGCTTCCTGCGGTTGCCTTTATGACCGCCATTCAACCCGGGAAAGCGCCATGATTGCATAGGATTCGAAACCACCGGATAGACACGTGTGAACTCTAGCCCAGCCGCCTTGCTATGTATCTTTAGCTCAGGCTCTAAAACCGACCAGACCCTCCCCGACTCCTTCTCCATCGGGATCCAGAATCGCACAGTCCCGTGGGGCAGTGTGTCCTCCCAATAAATGTGTCTTCCTCCTGGGCCCCGCGGGCTGGGTCCGGGAAGGCAAGCAGCCGGTAGTTCTTGTCGGGTCGCAGGAGCAGTGCTAGGAGATAGAGCCGGGGGTGCAATCGCAGATACTGCTGGATCACACTAAACTGCATGTGGCTGAGGTGCCGTGCGCCCCGTTCGTGGTGCCGGTAAATATCTCCCTCCTCGTCTGCACAGGCTGACAGGGGGCCGAGTAGCTCCTGAAGGACTGACGTGCTAGCCTCGGCCGGACGATCGGGCTGAAGAAGCAACTAGAGGGTCCAATGAGTCAGGCTATCCGTCAACGGGCATGGAGCAGAGCCGACACGCAAGGTGGACTCCAATAGCGTCATTGCATGAAACCCGTTTGGTGTGACGTCTGCATCAGTTGGTGTAATGATCGGGCACCGCAGGTGAAGCTAAGGCACTTTCCCAACGCGAAGAGAAGCATCCTATCCATGGGGCTGTCGCGAAGTAGACCGTTCTCCGCTTCTTGCTGGCTCTCTGGCAGCAGGGTTGTTCGATGGCAGCATTGGATTCACGTCAATATCGTGCCGACGACGGAAGTGACATACTCGTAGCGGCAACTTCACCCTTCCGCGGCGATTCCGATCGTATACAAATTTGCATAGCAGAAATGTCATAATCAAAGTCCGCCAGTGCGATGTCTGTAGCTATGCTAAAGAACATTGTCGATCGTGTACCATCTGTTATACGTTAGGGTCCTTAGGCGTCAAGGGATAGACAATGACTATCATCTATCCAGGTGTAATCTGCTGGAAACTGCGACTGTAGTTCGATTACCATTAACTTGTCCATCGAAAGATTGAAATAGAGAGTCGTGGCTGCGACTGCTAACGCAATAACCCCATCCTAAGAGGCGACCAGATCTAACAGAATTCCCAAGAAAGAGATGCATGGCCAACAGCCGCAAAAGATCGATTGTCCAGATCAGATGACGGCACATTTCTAACAACAAGCAAGGCGACTAGGAGGGGTCGATCACAAAGCGTGGGACATGCTTCGGGTAGTGATCAAGCATACCGAACAGCGTTGGTGACGATTGCTGTAGAGTGGCGCTTTGAATATACGACCACTTACCCAGGTAAAACACCGATTGACTCGCCCTCGACGTCGTTACATTGAAGCGCCGCTTGGACCTTCGGAATTCTGGTGTGTTAACGTTCCTTGACAGAGAAACAATCACACACTCTGCCTCGGTACCCTGTGATGAGTCAACCGTAAGTATGCGCGGCTTTCTTGTCGCGTTGTGGTAGCGATTGGCGAGATCGGCTTTAATTTTGGCGACCTGGGCATTATACGGCGTCAGGATTAGAACATTAATACGTCTGGCCGAGAGCGTCATTGCCAGGTCTACGGCGAGACGCGCCTCCGTCAGGCTGAACCATAACGAGGACGCGTCTCGCTGCGCCTACGCGTCGATATCTAGGAATCCGATATCTTGCTTGATAAGCCAGCAATTTTAATTGAAGCGGACGGTGATGGGTGAGGCAGCAATGTTGCCTCCCCATGTGCGCGGAGAGGGAAGCTCTGAACTGCTCCCTTGTTTGCATCTGGGCCCGTACATGTGCTCTTGCTGCTACCGCATATCAACTGCGGAAGTCTGACAGTCTTTTGTGATCAGTCTTTCAAAGGCCGAATTATTCCACGCCTCACTGGGCAGAACGTATGGTAAAGGAAGTGCTGGAGTGAAAGAGGGGTAACCGAACGAACGGAATGAACGGAAATCAGCAGTCCGAAGGAGATGTGTAGAGCGAACGTACGAGAGTACGAGCAACAAAAGGCGTAGTCGAGCAGTTAAAGGTAATGGTCGAGTATGTCGCGTATAGCTATAGCGGCTCGAGCCCAGTTTATCTCATCCAGTCTGGCGTATAGCTGGCGTATTTCTCTTGTGTTGGCCCGTTCGCGTCTCCAACGTTTTCAGTGACGTACACGTTCGGACCGACAGCATCAGGAGCGACGTCAGGACCGATAGGAGCGACGTTGACAGTGTCCGGAGGAGCGACATCGGGGGCGACATCAGGAACAACAGGACAGACGTTCGGAGCGACGTCAGGAGCGACGTTAGGAACAGCACGAACGTTCTGTCCTCGGTACATCGTTCTAGGTGGTAGTGGTCTGGATTGTCTCTGTCTCTGTCTTCCGAGCCTGTCCATTGAGGGTGGTAGGTGTACTTCTCGGTTCTGAGAAGGTGATTCCCAATGCCATGGCGCCAAAGGAATGTCCATAGCTGGATACATCACACAGCGATGTCATTCCACTTGGGCGGTGATTCGAGAGGCCATGAATTGCCGCCTCATTTCCGCTGGAGACCGAAGCTCTCAACTCTCTGCTCGTAGAATATCTTCGACGTCGCCTCGTGGATTACTTTCTGGCTTTGTTATTGGATGTTCAGTGTGCAGGCCTCGTGGGCTTTTTCGATCAGTCTCCCAAAGGCCGAGTTGTTTCATGTGTCGAGAACCGGACCCGTCTGCCATCACGCAGCGATGTCATCCCACCGGTGCGGGTGATTCGAGAAGCCGTGAGATGCCCGCCCAAACCGCGCGGGAGGCCATGACTCTCCACTTTGCCGTCGTAGAATATCTTGGAAGTCGCGTCGTACATTGCTTTCTGACTGCGATATTGGAGGTTTAGGCTGCAGACGTTGTAGTCTTTATTGATGAGCCTCTCAAAGGCCGAGTTGTTCCATGCCTCTCGACCCCGGGGTGTAAAGTACAATGATGAGGAATTTAGGGTAGAGCTACCTCGCAACATCTTAGGCAGGTTGAGTGGTGTAGTGACCACGATGTCGACCTTGCGCATGATGATGTTCGACAGCGCTCGATCGGACTTCATTTAAAGCAGTAGTCAGAGAGGGAACTATCCAGATGTTTGATCGAGAAAGATGTTCTTGAATGAAGGGGGTGGGAGTGGACAAACCGGAGCAGACTCTGATAACATGCTAGAAGAAACGTTTTATGTTTTACAGACATTGTGAGGCTTGCTAGAAGTCTTTGACCATCGGCTCAGGAGGTCTGGGTTCGAAAGAGGAGGATGAGAGTAATGGTGAGAGTGATGATGGAGAGGATGGATGGAGAAGGCCGATGGAGAAGGCGGATGGAGAAAAAGTGGAAGACTTGGGAGGCAGAAGGAAGAAGACAGAAGGAGGAGGGAGGAGGGGGTATATAAGCCCATCGAAATCCATTCCATTGAATCCAATGCAAGGGCAGTTCAATTCACGTTACCTTCAAGTCAAGCCCTATCAACCTAAGGAGCCCGCTAGACTCAGCCCGCCCATTGTGGCTGGCCATGGAGGGGCTGCTAAGACGATCGACAGCTTGGAGTGAAGCACAAATAAACAGGGTTATAGTGAAGGCTTTGGCTTTGTATGGTTGGTAGCTCTCCTACAATCGATGGCCATCTTATATTCACTAAAGTCTCTGACTCAAGTTTCGGCCCCCTCACCTTTCCACTACGCAGCAATGTATGGGAATTCAAGCCGCAAATCGGTATTAAAGCTATCATCTCGACCTACAGCCCTGAGGCGAGTAGCCGGACCGCTCGCTCAGCGCCCGCCACAGCCCAGGTTCACAGTTCCTCCGTAGTAGCCTCGTCTACTGCACTTACCACATATACCAATTCCGACAGAGACCCTCCAAGAACAATAATAGAAACTAGATGACCCCTTTTGTTGCCAACGTTCACACCGAGAACCCTGCCACCGATACAACCGGTATAACAATGAACACAAGCCCCACCAGAATCCCCTGCTCGAAGAAGCCCATGGAAGTCCCAGGCCCCTGTCTGGCTTTGAGCAGTGGCTTGACTACCTTCTTGCTCAGCGCTCCAAGGACGTGCCCTTTCTTCAGCCCACTCTTCCCTGCCTGGATCGTGGTGATCATCTCCGGCCGCGGGCGCGAGAACATCGACGTTGTATAGCGACGCTCGACAGGGATCACTCTCTGGTCCGTGGCGAGTGCAGGTCCGACTGCTATTGCATCAGCCATTGATTGTTCGGAGCTATGGACAAGGAAGAGGGGCGAGAGTCACGTAGCATGGGTGGGGGAATGTGGTTGGCTAAGGTGGCATGGCTATTGATTTGCTGGCTCCAGGAAATGTCGCAGAAGTGCTTCCACGAACTTCTGCTTCGCCCATACGTTGACCGCGACAATGCCTGGACGATGCGGTGACCCACCGCCGTAGGCCGCACACGCAGCCCAGATCTGTCGGGCGGCGTAGTCCACATCAGCGGTCCGATCGAAGAGAGCGGCGCAGGGCAGGTCGGGCGTCGCGCGGACGCCGGGGGCAGCTGCCAGCTGACCTGTTTGGTCCACCATCAGCGCGGAGACTGTCGTGCAGGGCGGCCGCTAGTTGCGCTTGCTGGAATCGGACGTTGGCCATGCCATGCGGCCGTCGTGGGCGGCGGCAGGGAGGCGCGCCACTTCAATCGGGGAAGCCATGATCTCTGCATACGAGATAGCTAGAATGGACGGAGGTGATGGGGCAGCTGAAGGAGTCGAGTCACTACATGCTTTATTGGATTTCTTGCACAGCGTGAGTTGTGTGTAAGAATCGGGATGGGGTACTTTCCGATTCGTTCTTTCCCGCACCGGAACCTCTCATTCGGACGTATACATAGCTTCGTCCACATTCTCCGCAACAAACCTCAGAAGCTCAAACACACATCAAGACACAAAGCACTACGACCAAATACCACTTCAACATGCCCACACAAACCCAAACAACCCCATTCACTCAGGCTCACCAGACCTACAACCTCGTCCTCACAGGGGCCAAAGACCCGCCCCCCACCCCCCCCCCCCCCCCCTTTCCTCCGCCTGCAAAGCCGACAGCCCTAATCTCCGCGTCAGTTAGCCGGGGGAGATATAACCTACCGACAAGCTCTACTATTGTTGCAGTAGAAATTTACAATCTGGGAAGCCAATTGGACCTTTGTCCACTCTATCATTCGAAAGCTACCAGTCGACTAAAATGCTTCACGACATGAGCGAAACCTTCGTCAAAAGCCAGAGCCCTCGCTTGACCGATGTACGCACAGGGGGAGGTTCCTTGATCTTGATGGTTGGTTCGGTTGGTGTAGCTAACCAGGTACGATTTCTAATACATGAACAAGGGTGTTGGGTTGCATCGGGTGATGTGGCGGCATCACTTGAAAAGAGGGGCCGACTGTGTCTGGGAGGACGAGAGCCACGAGAGTGGAGAAACGATGCTGAAAAACAAACTTGAAATAGCTAAGATTTGAAAAGACAAAAAGAACATACAACAGAAGGGATTCGCTGGTGGTCACCCACCCAACTACTAACCTCCCGGCGTGTGGCTTAAGTACGGCTGAGCGGACGGGAAGCCCTGTTTTCCACACCCTGTGGTCGTATGTACTTATGCCTGAGAATTATGTGTTACACAAAACAATCAACGGTTTCACGAAGACTAGTTACGAAACATTGATCTGGAATGGCTTATGCACGAGGCAGCTGTGAAGACGCTTGACTAGAAGAGACGACAGAGTTGTGTCTTAGCCTCAGTCTCGCGGAATGAACTATAGTCTATAGACCCTCATATTCTATTACTCCCGGTATGGTTCACCATGACAGCAAGGTAGGCATGGGCGCTCGAGCGAATTCTGGGCGAACTCTTTGGCGTCAACCAAACGAGTGAATGAACTACCCAGGAGACGAACGCGAGGCGTGCGTCATACGCGTACCAGGACTAACGCTTACACTAAGAGTCGGCAAACGGCGAAGTGTCCGAAGCGCCCATATCAAAGGCGCTAGGGAGATCGTCTCCTAGTGTACCAAACGGGACATTTTTAGGGAAGGGATCGCAAGAATCCAGCGGTGGCAGGGGAAAGTCCAAGAATTGCCACTGCCAAAGGTCGTCTGGGCTGACGAGACCATTGGAAAGAACTGGCAGCACATCCAGATCTGGAAACCCGTCGGTGACACTACCATCGACAAGTGGTGGTAATGGGTTGAATGGTGAAGAGGGCTCGAATGGGGGTTGCGGATGCGCGTGCCCGGGTGCGTTGGCAGGATCAAGGCCTTTTCGGCTCAAGGCTTTCAGAATACCCGCGACCCTAAGTCTCTTTAGGTTTGTACCTGCCAATTGTTCTCCGCGAGTACTTCCAGCGGCTGAACTACCGTCTTGATCGTAACTGTCTTCTTCCTCAAGTTCCATCAAGGCTTCCAAAGCAACAACGCAGCGCTGAGCGGGCCCTTCGGCCTCTGACTCTCTGTGCGGATTGTGGAGCGTCGATGGCCCGTTCTTGGCGTTCTCAGCTCGTAGTAATTCCATCGCTTCCCGGATTTTATCGCGAGTCATCAGTCGGCTAAGCTGTTGTGCGCTGGCACTATTCACATTATCATCTGACCTGGACGTGAAGATCAAGTCCAGTATCAACACCACCGCCGCGTTGAAAAGCTGCATCTCGCTGGTCGACAGCGAGCCACAGACCGTGCATCGCGCGTGGATCTGACCCTGGGTACCGATAATATTCTGGGCCAGAAGCTGACAGAAAGTACGACCGATCGACGATGAGATACTGGGCCGATGCAGTCGAAGCAGTAAGCTCCACAGTTGCTGATGCAGCATCCAGCGTTGTACGGGGATCGCCGCCATTGGACTCCCGGTGGCGGTAAGTCCGACCGTGCTTCCCAGTCGGAAATACGCCGGCAGACCAGCAACATATTTTTCATATTGATTGTTGAGATGTTTGCGCAATCTGGTGGATCGAATGGTCATGTCGGGCTCACGTGTTGGTGAATCCCATAGCTCGATGGATTCGCGGACAATGCCGGTGATTTCGAGGGCGTGGAGAGTATACGACATCATGGTGAACTCGGATCGAGGCCGCTCTGCAATCAGTCCATTGATATCCACCCGCGAGGTTGATAAAGAGAGATCTTCGTCATTGACGTGCAGCGGCATCCGGGTGTTGAATTGTGATGGTTGGATGGTGTAGTAGCCGAGGGCCTGTCCGCGAGACCAGTCCCTTTGGACGAGTGCCCACCTGTACGAGAATATCAGCAAAGGACTCGTGCTCTTTCTTCTCGGCCAGCCCTACCATATCCGAATACCTATTTCTGTTCGAATATGTGGCGGTTCTGCCGGTCCTGTCGTGTGATTTTCGAGTGGTGCTGAACATAATGCAGACGCGTCCAACTTAATATCCCTCAGCCGGTGTAGACCAAGTCTGCGAGCTCCTGAGATCGCAGTGACCAGAACCGCGTCCAGCGCCAATGAGTCCTCTTGGCTGTCGAGTAGGAGCATGACTGCAGCCTGTAACCCAGCGATTGAGCCACAGAAGAGAGACACTCCGTCCTGGAGACAGCGCAAGCCTAGAGCCCTCCATGTCTTGACACGCAAACAGGACGATCGTAACTCTTCCACGCGCAAGGCCGACGGCGTAGGACTCCATCCCAATATCGAGGGCGTAGGATGAAAAGCAAGACCGAGCACAAGCTGACAAGCAAACAATAATGTGAGCATGGGGCTTTTGTGTCAGGTAGACTCCACCTACCGCCAAGAGGTAACAGCCCAGTGTCTCCATTGTGATTGCGCTTGCTATCGCGGAAGCCCGTTCGTCTGCTGAAGCGAGATTCAAGCAGTTGCCGAACAGTGCCGCTTGCGCCATAAATGTCGGAGTGTGCACCACATTCCCCAAAGGGCCCTGGCAGCGAGTGACGAACACCTCAAAAAGCACGTGGATTACCTCCCACTCCGGCAGTACGTCGACGATCTCTCGGATCAAGGCGAGCTTCTCGCCGTGTCGCTTAGGGTCTGTAGCGGACCAGTACCGATTCAGAAAATCCGGGGCGACCGACATCGGGGTTGCCGCCACAGAACTCGAACGGGGAATTCCCTCGACGAAATGCTCCAAGAGTTGAGCTGTCTCTTCGGCTTCCAATTCACTATCTCCATTCGCTGGCAGACTACTGCAGGCGTAAGCATTGTTTTCATAAACCTTGGTTCAACAACGGTGTCTCACTGCTTGGACGCTGTCTTGCCTCTGTGCACGGTTTTGGACCGTTTAGCCCTCGGGTGTCGCTCATCCTTGGTACAAAGATGGCCAAGATCACGCTTGACACATTCCACCTGTAAGAGGATTGTAAGCCTCCAGCGTCAAGGGCGAGTCGATTGCTCGCGCGTGGATGACGTGGGCACTAACACAGGGTTCTTTGCGGTCGCATTTTAGCTTCGCGGCCCTACAACGGGAACACGACAGCGTAAACTTGCGTACCCACGAGTGCGAGCCCGGGGTAGCCTTGCTGCGGTCGTCATCAACCATTCTGCTCGCTCTCCGTGATGGTTAGATCAGAGACCAAAAGTAGGGAGAGGGGAATCGCTCCCTGGAATGCTGCAGCCGCCTGCACCTGCCAGCTGACGCGAGGTTAGGCGTGATTGGGTTAGGCTGACCAGTTGACAGCGCGGGACTTGATGCCACGGACCATGGGGTCAGGTGATCAGCCGATGCCGGCTACCAAACCTCTTACCCTACCTATTACTAGGTATAATCTGCCAAGCCAGGGATCACCCGCTCGGACTCAACTCATATAACCCGGAAGACAGACGGCGACATCACAAGTCAACCAGAAAAGTTGATCACCAATTGCCACGATGGATGGGGTCTCTCGAAAGTATATCAGCCTCTACCTTGCTAATTTGCTCAGACTGCCCACGTTTGAGGACAAAATTCAATGACTTTCCCGTTTCCCCTCTGCCACGCGGAATGATATATTCGCCGCACTGATTAATCAGCCGCCGGAGTCGAAACAGTACACGCACAAATTCAGCGAGAAGAACCTTTGAAGACCAATGTACGTGGCTTTGTATGATGAGAGAACACGGGGCGTTTTTCTACTCGTGACCTTTCCTGAATTCTGGCCGGTATCGCATAGTGCCTTGCTCTTAGGGACAAAAGGATACAGTGGCTGGTGAAACTACCCGCAGAGACCATGAACTCACGATTGAGATAGATTACATAGTCTAAGTTGCTCTCTGCCTTAGAAAAGACAGACCGACCGACCACAGCTACTCACTTCGCGTACCTTGCTGTGTCTCATTTGCTGTTACAGTCAAGTCAATGAATCTGTTATCTCTGCCGGAACTTAAGTACAAACTCCTATCCTCTATCCAATCTAGCTATACATAACCCTTAGCTCAATTCCCCAACAATTTCTAACTACCCGAACAAGAGCCTCAGACATCCACCTTGTTAATCGTCATCTCCGCGCTATCCGTGCTGCTCGCATCAGCCTTATCATTCTTCCCCTTTTCATCAAACCGGCTATCCCGAACGAACAGGATCACAATCAAGAAGCCGACCGCCGCAAACCCGATCCCGAGCCAGAGCGCCCCTCGATACCCGCGGACCACATCCGCTCCCCCGTGATTGACATGCGCCTCGACGGTCGCAGCAATGCCCAGACCAATAGAAATAGAGTACTGCACCACTGTCGAAATAAACGAGCCGGCGACGCCTTGCTCCTCCGGCAGGACTGCGTTGGAGATGAGGATGCCCGACGAAGCGAAGGAGAGGTCCGGTCCGCCGACGACCAGCAAACACGCGGGGAAGATGAAGGCCCAGTAGATGGAAGAGTACGACACAAAGCTCATGAGCAGGTTGCCGACCAGAAAGGAAAACATGGAGACGCCGAAGATGTACTGCGCGGGGACTTTGGTGATGAAGAGCCCGACGGAGGCGGTCGCGAAGAGTCCCCCGATCACGAGCGGGACCATCTGTGCGACTGCTGTGAGTGGCTGCGCTTTGTGGATGGTGAGAATGTAGATCGTCGTGTAGTAGAGGAAGATACCGAAGGACATCCAGCCGAATGACATGGCTGTCACGACGGGGGAGAAGCCCTTGCGGGTCCAGAGGGTGTTGGGAAGAACGGGGGCCGGGACGTGGGACTGCGAGATGGCGAATGCGACGATCAGGAGAATTCCGACGATGAGAAGCGCGTAGACATAAGGTTCTTGCCAGCCTACCACGGAGGCTTGGTTCCAGGCGAAGGAGAAGAGGATGAGACCCGAGACGCCGAGGATGGATCCGAGGTAGTCAAAGCGCTTGAGATTGAGACCAGGGATTGGCGAACCCACGCGGTGGGGGACGATGAAGTACGTCACTGCGCCCAGAACGAGGCAGCTAATGGCCCAAAACCAATATCCCCATCTCCAGGTGACTTTCTCGGCGAAGGCAGCGCCGACGAGGCCTCCAAATATGTAACCCGATGGTGCGCAGAATCCGAGGAAAGCAAAGGCGATGTTCTTTTTGACTGAGAGCGGGGGGAAGGCACGTGCGAGGAGGGCGAAGGAGTTGGGGACCAGTGCCCCGTTGCCGATGCCCGTCATCCCGCGAGCAATGTCGAAAAGGATCACACCTTTGGCGAAGCCACTCACGAGTGACCATAGGGCCATCCACATCCACCCGAAAAGAAAGACATATTTGTGGCCAAAGTGATCGCCCAGTCGGCCGGTCACCAGAACGAAGACGCCGCCGCACAGTGAATATGCGGCCAGGAACCAGGACATCTGACCATTGCTTGTGGCGCTGAGCGAGTGGCCGATTTGTTGTACTGAGAAAGCTGTATTTCCGAGACCGCCGACAGAGAACAGCTGGGATAGGCCGATGACAAAGATGAAAAGGACCTCTTGGAAGGTGGATGAAAAGGCGGATGAAGGGCCTCCAGCGTCTGGCTCGCCAACACCGCCAGGCCCTGACATCGGATCATCGCACCTGTCGACTTTCTCTTTGCGCAGTGGTTGCTTGTCAAGCGCTGTAGACTCGTTAGTAGAAGACATGATCAAATCAATCCTTTCAATGACCGCAGCTTATGTGACAGAAAGAGCTCCTTGAGGGCAGGCCTGACTTCGATTTCTGGTAGAACAAGATAGATAAGGTATGAGAGTGGAAGAGTCGGTCTGAATGTGCCCTTATAACTCAGCTTCAATCCTGAATTCTGTGAGTATTTGTCATATTTTCTCACTCAATAATGGAGGTTTAACAAGATCCGGAGCAAGATAACGGGGGCCAGCAACGTTAGGGTTGGTGTTGAAAGTCCGCGGACTTCCAGCAAATCTCCGACCGCAGTGTGAATCTCCGGAGCTGTGGCCTGAGGCCGCAACTTACCTGCAAAGGCGATTCAACCGCTTAGTGACCCAAAAGAACCGTCGCCCGCAAAACCAGGCATCAATCTAATGTTTACAAAAATCCTCAAGTACCCCTATACCGTGGTTCTGTCAACGGCAAAGATCAGTAAAAGCGATAATACACAGGACATGATCATGGCAGTTGACCAATCATTCTGATGTTCTTCACAGCGCTTCCTTAGTGTTTCTGTTGACAGCAGTGTGGTGGGCTGATATAGGATAGATGAGGATAGGCGAGGAACGATAATTCTTATTTGTTTAGGTTTTTGAAGCCTTAGAGTTGAGATTAGGACTTTGTAATATTCTGAGCATTCTCTTCATTGATACCGAGTGTCTCTGGGGATCTAATGTCTTGTAAGCAGACCCAACACAAGACATCAACAAACGACCTATGTCATGTAGGAACTAATGAGCCTTACCTTATGCTTGTTCTTACTGTTGTTCTCACAGCACTGTATGCTGAAGTGGGTTGTCAAGGCAAAAAGAAGGCCACGTTATGCAGGATGATAACTGCTTGATCTGCGCAGAAAATCGTTCGCCTGTTCATCTGGGTAGCGTGAAGCAATATGTTGCCCTGCCCGTACTTATAGAGCTCAACAATATTAGGAAGGGGTTGCAGAGACTTTAACATACAGTATACTCGAAAAGCTCACAGCCCCTCCAACCCATTTTTAAACAAGTAAGAGGTCGATCCCAAACTCGAGCTCAAGTTGATAGCTTTCGATTACTCATTCATTAAGGCCGGCCCTTCATTGTCTATCAATTTCAGCAACAAATGAGAGACACATTCGCTGGAAGTGATATGACCTAGGCTACAATCATGATTGCTATCTTCCCACCCTTACTGCCTATGAGCATCCTCATCCATCACATCCGCCATCTCTCAGCTCATTTCTTACTCTTCCAACTCAACCTTTTCTATCCACCCTAACCATCTTCTTTGATGTCAACCATCGTTACCGGTAACAGGTACCATCATATCCTGCCATCATATTCTGCCGTCATCTTCATCGGTCCCAGTTTATTCAAGTTGTCTCCTTTCTGCCCTCCATCTCGCTTGCTACCGATACTTCTTTACTTCTAATTACTGTCAAAGCTGATTCGATAAACCATGGCAACATCCGAATTCCCAACTTTCCCGCGTCTTCCCGCCGAGATTCGTCTCATGATCTGGGAGGCCGCGCTACCCGACCCAATCGGTAAACCACTGTTCTTCTGGAGGCGGACTACGTGGCGGCGGGAATCTGACCCGGAATGTCTGATCGATGCGGATGATGATCTGATGCACCCGGACGATATGGGCCATTTCCGCATCGCAATCCCGCTTCTCCAGGTGAACCAGGAGGCAAAAAGGGTGGCCGAAGACTGGATTCGGTGCCAGTCGCCTCCTCCGGTCCCACCCCGAGCCAACTCAACCGCCCTCGTCCGCTGATTCCACGCTAGTGACGACACCGTCTTCTGTTTCGATGACCAATTCACGGATTTCATGGAGGAGGTCGATGCGCTATACTATGTGATGCGTCGAGACCCTGAGTACCCTGAATGGTTTCCACACAAATAAATCCCGCTAGACCATCCGCTCCGACACATTGCAGTTCCCCAGCAGATGCTCGAGAACCACCTAGACTGGGTTCAGCAAATATTTCTCCGCGGCCTCCAGGCGTGGTGCTGGGACTTTTTCATTGTCGTCGGCGCGCCCGCAGAGCTCCAGCAGATGGTCCCGGGCCCACCGGACCAAGTGGATTGGCAGGTGGAGCAGAAGTGGGAGCTGCAGGTTTTGGAAGATCTGCCTTGGGCTTTCTGGATTGATGGCGGCGGGTGGAGGGTTGGCGAGGGTTCGTCGCGCGGGGAAACGGCCTACGAGCGCGCAAAGGAACTGCTCGTAGAGATTACAAAGAACCCTTTTCCGCTGAGTGACCTGGAGGCATGGATCACCTGGGGCCTCATGAAAGATTTCCATATTCGCTTTGTCAGTGCGGTGAGGAAGTGAGGCTACAAGACGAATCGGACTCTGGATGGAATTGTTTCTACGCGTGGGGCTTTGAGGAGAGTGCTCTGCTGTTGTTATATTTTGTCAACTGTCTATCTAGCTATAGCCGGTGGATCTGGATGCATCACAACACGGTTCGTGTCTACCGGCCGTTAGCAACTAAGGAAAGAGGACTTCGTAAAGAATTTTGAACATACAACATAATTGTTTAGAGCAGTTGTGAGTACTTCTAGAAGGTTCAGAGCACCTTCAGACGCCCCCTCGATATGTCGCTTTGCTCGAAGGCCCAACAGCTAAGGCATTGCGGTACGGACCGAGTAAATGCCTGGACCAGGCGACAACTGACTCTTCATCGAGGCAATAAAAGCATTCACTAGGAGAGAGACAGGCCTAGTCTACAACCTTCTAACAACTACGAGTAGTTCCAACGTCCTGCTCTGACGTGGCAACCAAAGCTTCCACTTTAGCGTGCTCCTACAGGGTTCAACGCATATCTACTACAAGGGTCCTCTCTATCTTGACTGGATCGACTTTTAGGGCTCGCAGCGGAAGAACAGGATATCTATGCCGTACGAAACGAATGGCTGCCTGTAGCAGGCTCTTAGAGATTGAACTATTATTCCTTTCTAGAGAACAGTTCAGATCAGGGTAACAAGTTTGTGCTTGACCGCGCGAGCGGAATGGTTGGATTTCAGCCAGGGAAGGGTTCATATGAGGGCAAATCTTCAGTCCAGAGAAGCCAAGTCTCTCAGTTATCCACTCAAAGCATCGGGACACGTGATTTTCAAGCACTTTAGGGAGGTGATGAAGGCATTCACTCGAAGCAGCCTTTGACCAGCAGAAATCTTTTGCCAATTCCAAACCTTCGCTGCCTGCAGGCAACCGCGCCTATCCTCCTCAAACTCGACCACCTTCTTTCCACCCCCTCATCCTCTTTTAACACAGCCATTCTCTTTCGATCAAGTAACCTTATCCCATATCAACCAATCTCTGTCCTCGTAACATCCATCGTCTACCATCGCTTTCTAATCGGTGCCGTCCTTCAATTCTCTCTCGCATCTACCCTCCATCTTTGCTACAAAAGCCATTCCCCCACCGCTGTCAAACCGTGTTCAACAACAATGGCGACCTCAGAATTTCCTTCCTTCCCGCGTCTTCCTCCGGAGATCCGGCTCATGATCTGGAACGCTGCTCTCCCCGGCCCGATCAACAACCCTCTATTCTTCTGGAGAACAGACAAAGTGATTAAACACAGGCTGGACGACAAGTATGACGACTACGACAACTGGGTCCCTGACCTCATCCACCCGCTCGAGATGGGCATCTTCTCGGTCGAGATCCCGCTCCTCGAAGTGAGCAAAGAAGCCCATAAGGTAGCCCAAGAGTGGGTCCAACGCCAGTCTCTGAGTCTCGAAGTGGACGTGGACAACGACACCTATACCGAAAACCACAACAGGCTCGCAATGCGCCGCTTCAATCTCCGCCGCAACATCGTGTTCTGCCCCGGACGATAGATGGAAGGACTTCCTGGGGGAGATATGGAACATGTTCTACGTCCTATCGATCGAAGGGCCTGGTCGATACCCCGAGCACTACAATCTCATCCGACGCGTGGCGCTGCCCCAGCAGATGCTCATGGATTCTCGACTTGCTCCGCTCCGGAAAGTCTTCAGCATGGGTGTCCAGTTGTGGTGCCGAAACCTGTATGTTGTCGTCGACGCCCCCGCTGCGCTGCGGGGGGCCGCCACCAGGAACTGGGGGCTGGAGATTCTGGACGACTTCCCCCGCGCGTCCTGTACCAGACCGGGCGGATGGCGTATCACCGAGGGTTCTGCTGCGCATGGGGGAACTGCCTACGAGAGTGCTAGGGAGCTGCTTGAACAGATTGTGAAGTACAACTTTCCGGAGGGGAAGTTTCGCGAATCGGCCTTGCGCGAATTCCCGATGGACTTTGAGATTCAATTTGTCCGTGCGGTCGAGGGCTGAGCAAGGTTACGTGCGTGAGGCAATGGAAGCGCTTCACTAGAGCTTGGAAACCGGCTTGGCTTTTGTCTCTGGTTTGCAGCAGAGAATTTGTCTACCTATGACTGGCTGCTCTTGGGAACATGTTCATATAGTCAAGAGGTTCTAGTGGCTAGTCGAGGGGAAGAGTACTGGGACTAAGGTGCTTGATGTGTAATAGGCCATTTACTTCCAAGCTGAAATATGCACAGGATAGCTCATAAATGAGGAATTCAAGTCTTTCTTTAAATGCACTCATACAGCAGTAGAATGTTAGCGCATTCTCCTCTCAGGACAACTTGAAGGGATTAGATAGTATACACCTACAATATATTGGAACGGCATTGAGTGGATTGGCCACCGGACTCTCAACCTGCGGATCCAACTACGGGAAATCAACTTCCAAACCTCAGGTTCTAGATCATAACGGACACATATTGGCTCTAGCATGGGATGCTTGCGCAGACATAGGACGTGAGGTTGAGGCAAAAGCTTTTGCATTCTGCCAGTCCAACCGCTGCCTTAGTCACGTGTCGATATACCACCGCCACTGACTGATTAGCTGCACAGCCACACCGCCCCTCGTATCTGTGGGGGCGGAGTGCAGCCTAATTGCAGCCACACGGGAGCCTGGCCGAGACCCGGTTTCTGGCAATCAACTCAAATACCACTTCATCCACAACACACAACACATTATTCAGTGCTGCACATCGAATCCATGGGACATATCATCAACCGAGCTGACTAGATGACAAGCAAGCAAAATGGGTATGTTTCCTCAAGAGCAACCTGCAGACAGGGAATTGATTCATCAACTAACCGCCTGCTACAGGATACTCTGAGGTACGCAGCACATTCTCCTTGATCAAGGACCAAAGCCAATTTAACAATAATTGCCAGGCCTACTGCCATCTCTGCGGTGTTAGCTTCAACATCGGTCGTGCTCGCGATGTCGGAGAGCCCCACGTTGCTTCCTTTGGCAGCGACGATAGCCTCTCCATGGAGATCGAGGATTTAGATCTAGCCGAGTGTGCTAAGAAGGGTTGCGTTTTCGCTCTCAAATACCCATATCCCGGAGAAAAGGATGAGGATCTAGAGGTTGATCCCGACTATCAGCCTGAGGAGTGCGACGATGAGACCGCAGAGCCGTACGAATATGATTCCGATTATGAGTCAGATAATGCCATGTGTCTCTCCGAAGACCAACACGATGACGCTACTCAACAAGGCGAGACGGCCACGACGGAGGATGAAGAGGAAGAATTGTACCGCGACTTCCTCTTCAACACACTCCGCACACTCAACCCAAGACACTACACCGGAGAACCCATCGGAGACTTGGCCTATTCCACAACAACCGGAACGAAAAAAGACATCCTGATTCCAATCACGTCCTCCGAGCTCCCGAAAGACTGCAGCCCCGAGGACCTGGAACACATCCCCGTCCCGACGTGCGGCCAACCCAACGCCTACCCCGGCTCGGCGATCTCTGTTGCCGAAATGCGCGGCTGCCGGACGGCCCAATTCCTCGTGCATAAGTCGCAGACGGAGGGAACGTGGAAGCCCGATGGGCTACACGAGGACTGGGAGACGGATGCGGAGTGGTTCCTCTCCGGCGTGTGTGACGGGATGCGATCGCGCGATTGCGGGTATCCGGATGTCTGGCCCGCGCGGGGTGGAGTGGAGACTGTGGCGGCGGACAATGTCAATTTCGGGGTAAGTAATTCCTGGTACAGTTTACCCAAGAGTAAACCCCTTGGAGGATAATTGCTAACCCACCCTCAACAGTCCATGGAACCCCACGAGCTTGCCATGCCATTCCACTCGTGGTGCTTCGACATTTTCTCCCGCCAATCGAAACGGCACTTCAACAAGGTAAACGTCAACGGACTCATCAAATGGCGCGATGCCGAGTGCAGCTATGAAGAGTTCCATGAGTTTCCGCGGGCGGGTGATGTCCTCGAGTCGCAGGAGCAATGGTGGGACCATAAACCCGGCAGAGAGTATCTGGCTGCGAACCCGCTTTACGTACCTGGCTTACCGGCGTTGCTCGCAGAGGCGACGAGTCAGGAGGTGGAGGTGGAGGTGAATACTGCTTCCTTCGAGAATTCGGCGCGAACTCACCCGGATCCCCGCGTGGTCGACTACCTGAGCTCCCTCCCGCTGGACCTCCGTCTCCACATAATCAACTTCCTCGACGCAGCAGATATCACGCGCCTTCGCGCGGCGTCGCGGGCATTCACGCACCTCCCCAATGGTGTCTGGTACCGCCTCGTCCGCGACGAGATGCCCTGGCTCTGGGAAGCGTGGGATAATTCGGAGATTGAGCACACGCCCTCGTGGTGGACGACGGTGAACGCAAACGAGGTCAAGTTTGTGAATGACACGCGAAATCACTACGCCAAGGTCCTGGGTGCCAAGTCGACGGATCAGGATGATATGGTGGATTACCTGGTCCCGTGGCCTGTTGTGGTGCCGGAGCAAGTGAGGCTGGAAAGGGCGAACACCGATTGGCATCGAGTTTTCTTTCGGGTCAAGAGTCAGTGGGTGCAGTTGAAGGGGTTGCGGAATCGGCGAAGGATTTGGGAGGATGTAGAGGAAATTATTCGTCGAATTGGGCGGTGTGAAGGCAGTTGTTGAGAGCATTCATTTCCCATGTTTTGAATATTGCCCCGTTGTATATGCAACAGATAAACAAGTATTCAGCAATCAACTGCTCGTGTCTCTGTTTGTTTCCTCATGCGTATTTGTACTTGATGGTTTTACAGCTATGTGGATGAGTGTAGATCATGCACCCTCTAGGAGACAGCAATTCTCTTCCTTACACTGTGGGCCTATGCGCTTAGCACCTCGAAGACCTACCTACAAATAGTGGTTGGCGGATTGCCCTGATACTTCTCAAAACGTCCTACCTATGCTGTTGGATCGAGGATTTATTGCGTAGCTGCTATACAGCTTCATTCTTCTGTGCTCTCATGTTGTGTTTGTATTTTTCAGAACACAGAATCTATTACATGAGACTTTAAGTGCACTCACACATTCACATACCCAAACTCTCCACACATGACCTCAAAACCTCTGCTACTCTGCAGAGCTCAGGGCATGATGCATCACGTGTTTGTGACTCTGAAGCATGCCACGTGACTCTGTCTTTCCCGTTGCATGCTTCCTTCCGGGCAATCCATGTCCGTCTCTCAACCACTATTTTTGAGATGTCGAATTGAAGTATTTCCCTGTAATCCTTGAAGATAACCTGTATCTTTATTACTGATAGCACCTTCTCGACGATCAAAGGGCCATGCTAAGTTTCCGAGGGACCAGCCTCAGCACGAGACAATCTTGTCTTGGATAAGATTTCCGAAAATATATAGCAGTCAGAACCAGGCAAAAAAAGAATTATTCTTCCTCACCGTGGAACAGACACAAACATCGCAATGGAGCCGCATCACTAACACAGCTGAACTCGAGCAATGACCTGCCTCCCCCTTAGATGAAAAATCGAGATCTGATTTAATTACGTAGTATACCAGAACTCCGTCCCAGACTTCGGTATCCCAGCGCAGAATCCTGTCTCCACTTCCCCGCCAAGCCCTCATATAATCGGCCCAAATCTGTCAGCCCCGCCGCCCTGCATGATTCTCCATGATTTGATAATCTGGGCGAGCAGATCTCGGTATCCCAGATCCGGAGAGTATATTTTACCCTTGAAGACCTCTACCATCTCTTCACTCCTCACAACTACCACATCATCTTTCCAGTAAAACAACCACAAAAATGCCCCCCCAAACCAACAACCAATGGATCATCCGCCACTTCGGTAACACCTTCGACAGCCTGGAGCGCACCACCTCCCCGATCCCGCCAGTCGGCGAGTACGACGTCCTGGTCAAGATCGAGGCGGTCTCGCTCAACTACCGTGACGCCAGTATCCCCATGGTCTGTTCTTTCCTTCCCCCACTCCACAGAAAAAGCCCAACTAATGCCCCGGAAAAGAACATGTACCCCTTCCCCAGCAAGCCCGACCTAATCCCCTGCTCCGACGGGGCGGGAACCGTCGTCCAGACCGGCAGCAAAGTCACCGCCTTCCGAGCAGGCGACCGCATCACCTCGCTCTTCTTCGCCGCCCATCTCTTCGGCGATCTCACCGCGGAAGCCCAAAGAACCGGGCTGGGTGGGTTCTTGGATGGGTGTTTGCAGCAGTACCGCGTCTTCCATGAGATGAGCCTCGTGCATGCGCCGAGGAATCTGAGTCCGGTGGAGAGTGCGACCCTGCCCTGTGCGGCGTTGACGGCGTGGAATGCCCTGTACGGGGTTAAGCCGCTCCGGCCGGGGCAGACGGTGCTCGTGCAGGGGACGGGTGGGGTTTCTGTCTTTGCGTTGCAGGTGTGTTTACCTCTCCCTTTTGCGTTTGCTTTTCTCTTGAAGATGATGGATGGGGTGGCGTATGTTGGGGTAAGGCTGATCTGCTGGGTAGTTCGCTAAAGCGGCTGGTGCGACGGTGATCGCTACGACCTCTTCGAGCGCGAAGGCACAGCGACTCAAGGAATTGGGCGCGGACCATGTGATCAACTACCGCGAGGATGCGAACTGGGGCGAGACGGCGCGGAAGCTGACGCGCCGCGGCGTCGATCATGTGGTTGAGGTCGGCGGCCCAAATACCGTCCGCCAGAGTCTGAAGTGCGTCAAGCTGGAGGGGGTGATTAGTGTCATCGGGTATATTGGCGGCACGAGCGGGGCCAAGGATGAGAAGCCCCCGCAAATCTTGGATACTTTGACGGGTGCGGCGATTGTCAGGGGTATCCAGATCGGGAGCAAGGAGCAGATGCTGGATATGATTCAGGCGATTGAGGCGAACGATATCAGGCCGGTGGTTGATGAGCGGGTCTTTGGGTTCGATGAGGCGCGTGGGGCGTACCAGTATCTGTGGGATCAGAAGCATCTCGGCAAGGTGGTTATTAAGGTTGATTAAACGAGAGGTTATGGGCGTGGAGCGGAACAGGGATCGACTGAGCATGTATTTGTAGCCTTAGATTCAAGGAACAAATGATGTGGACATTGTATGGCGACAAAAATGATAATGCAGGTTGCGACTACTCGCTTGATTAGCAATGCTCCACTACCCCGCATAGCTTAATCCAAGCCAACAGATCAAGGCGCCATCCCCTCTGCCAACTCTCTAGCTGTCATCTGAGCATGATCTAAAACAATGCGAATTTCCTCCACCTTCTCCTTCACCTGATTAGCATGTCGAAGGTTCTGCCCCGCTTCAGAAACCTCGCCCTCGACCGTGACTGAAGCCCGCAGGTCCCGAGTGATGTTTGCAATCTCGTCGCGCAGCCTTTGGTCTAGTTGATCAAAGGTCTGATTCAAAATGCGGTGATAGTCTTCAGCGATATATGAGGCGAATTGCATGAAAAGCGTTGGAGATGAAAGAGAGCGGTTAATTGTTCCCTTGCGTCGGGAATCGCTTCCGGTACCTGCATCCACCGGCTTGAAATTAGACTTTCGTCATTTCCATTGGCTGAGCTCGATCCCCTACCGTACTGCTCTTGGCAGATATTATAGACAGGGCGCATGACACCCGCGATATAGGAACTGGAATGCCCGTGGATCGTGTCGGCTTTGACTTTTCTGTGAAGCTAATCAGCCAACAGCGTTTGGTCCAGCTTGCACGGGAAACCATACTCCGTTGTATACACAAGATCATGGAAGGAACTGCGCACCGCTTCCTCCAAGCATCTTTGCCGGGTGCGGATATTTGAAAGCAGATTCTGCAGCGATTCTGGCGCGAGGTCCTGGTGTTCTGAAAGTTTGATCGTATTAGCAATCCAGCTTTCATCTGCACTTTGAATTTCAACGTGATTGCTTACTTGCGATAGACTCGCAGACCTCACTGAACAGACGCGAAAGACCCTTCTCGAAGCCTTCCGCATGTCCCTCCAACTGGCTTAACACAACATCCCATGCGAGGATTAGCCAATCACGTGCGGAGCCGAGAATCTCCTCATTCCAGCAACGGTAGGGCTGCTTCCCCGTCTGGTGACTTCCATAATTGCGGCAAAAAGCTGCGTATGTCATGTGATGCCACTTAACATGAGAGATTAGCTCTTGGGATCGATGGTGTCTGATACGTCTCTTTGACTTACTAAAGCCCACTCTCTGCTCGCATTGACTGCACTATTGCACCAGTCGCTTCGTGACTTTTCTGCATCAGATTCCTCGATTAGCTAAGTATTTAAAGCCAGTGAAGGTTCATACGCACGAATTAGTCGAGTGATATCACTATTAAATAGCTGTTTCAAAGTACCCTGCGCTCGGCGCACTTCTGAGCCCTGCGAGAGAATGTTCTACGCAAGTCAGCAACGGTCGTTCCCGTCTCAGGTCGGTAAAGCACATCAGTCCGTACGAATCGTGTGCTTTGGACAAAAAGAGGATTCCTTTAGTGAAAGTGATCGTACCCGTTCGAGGGTCGTTTCCGCCTCCACTAAGACACCACGCAGTAATTCGGCTCGGGCGACAGTGATGCCACTAGAACCTGCCAACACCCATTGATTTATTGAACCTAAAAGCGCCGGAACATCATTTTTGATGTAGGCGACTGTTGCCCGGAACTGCGCATCAGCAGGAACAGATTGGCAGTAGCGACGAAGCTCGGTGATTCCACTCAGCGCACGGTACCCATTGGCTTCCTCGATGTCGTTGAATCGATGATCAGCGTAAAGCTTATTGCTAACACAGAATACCCGCGCGTTGCTGCCCCAGGCGGCTAACAGACTGTCTGTGACTTGGGTGTTCCTTCTTGTGATGAGGAAACGATTCAACCTGGAAGTGTTTAGTTGGCGGCTGCTGTTGCTTCTTAGATTAATAAGGGGTATCACTTACTCAAGCTGGAGGGCGTCTTTCTGATCGCTGTAATGATGTCAAACAATGGCGAGATTGTTCTGTCAGCTTTACACACCTTAGATCTGTCTCCTCAGCGGCGAGGCTTTGGCTTCTACTTCCGCTCGCTCGTCGTCTTCGGGAGCGTGTCGACCTAATTCTACTCTCAAGACGCTCGATTCGGCTGTCCATATTGCGAATGCGTGCAGCATCATCAATGGAAGAACTGCGCGCAGTCTCTTTTGCATCGACATCCTGGCATTCTTCAGTCAGCCCATCATCCGATCTCTTTAAGATAGACACTAACCTCTGAACGAGTGCAAACAATGCGAATGGGTTGATCTCTTGCACAACGTTGGATAATGTCGCCGATCGACTGGTCGGTGGTACAACGGAGTATCGAGCTGACGACGAACACTTCGTCGCAACTGTGACGGAGATACCTCTCTGTCGCCCGGACTCGGGCATAGTTCAGGTCGCGGAAGCCTAAAGATTTCAATGTCTGCAAGTTCGCAAACGGGTAAGAGAATGGGTTGTAGTACCTGGAAGATCAGCCAAGACCAAGCCAGTGCGCAAGACAGGCGACCGCAAATAAACCCTACCACGTCATTAGCCACATGTCGCAAGATCTTGTATTAGCCTTTCCAAACCTGATCAGCTTTACAAAGGGCCACAACGCTGGTCGCTTGCTATCTTTGGGGTCTGCCATGAGATTGTCCAGCTGCTCCATGCATTCATCCGCATGCCGAGCTACTACGGAATAGCGAAGGTTGTCTCGCCCCCCCGGTCGGAGATCAAGTCCAGCCATGGCCCATTCCTGCAGGGTCGTTAAGACGGTCTCTACTGACTCTTCCCCTTCCTTGGATAGAAACTCGAGGTCAAAGCCTTTTTGATGTGGGAAAAGAGACCGTAATGTCTCCCACGCTCTCAGCGCTGCGGCCTTGATGTCCTCTTTTTCTTCCGAAACTTGCACTTCGCGAAAGGCATCTGTGTAGTATTTCCGAACACTAGAAAGCAACTCCTCTAGTAGTTCACGAATCTCGCTCTTATCCATGAAGTCCGCTTCGACGGTATAGTTCTGCGGATGTTCGTCATTAATACTCCGGAATTCTGTAACCACTGTCGTGCAAGCAGCACCGTCCCCACTCTGCGAAAGTTAATAACCAGAAACAAAAACTATCCCTGGTTGGGGGCTTGACTTACCGACCGGGCCAGCCCCTCTTGGTCAAGAATGGAGTTTATTAAGCTGCTCTTGCCTGATGCGAGATAAGCCTTTCCTGTCTGAGGGTGGATGCGTCCGATACTCACCCATTCCCGAGTCGCCGATGAAGCCCACAGTCCGCGTTGCCGGATATGCAAAACGACTCGCCTTGAGTGCTTGCTCATACAATTGATGCAACATTGTAGTTGAATCGCTCACCAACTCGCGTCTCCTCCCAAGCTGCTGCGCAAGGCCAGCGAGTTGACCTCTGATATTGCGTAGTGCATTCTGAAGTTGAATATCGTATATTGGCGCTCGAGGGAGTTCCTCCTGGCGAACGTTGTAACGACTTGTATCATCATCGTCGTCTTCGTCGTCATCGTCGTCGGAGTGACCGTGTTCCGAATCATCGTGAGTCGCGTTGTCATCACTATCGACAGCAACATGGTCGGTGAAAACGAGCTCATGATGAATCTTGTCAGAAGCATCTGCTGCGGTATGCTTTGAGCCTTCCAAATTCAGGTTTGTCAAGTTGCTCTTAACATCTTCCAGAGGAGAGGCGGGGGTGCTTGCTCGCGACTGCTGATCCGGCCGGCGGGAGGAGGGTCCGGCAGGACTAGGAGTGGCATTGTGGAGGTCTCTGTAGGTTGTGGCGAGAGATTTGGGTGTCGGGCTCAAACCAAACACTCTTTGCGCCTGCTCAGTGTAGTCAACCGACGACTCTTCAGCTTCTTGGGGCTTAACATGTTCACTGAGACGCAGCGTCTCGAAAAGGGACTGTGCAGTTGGCGTGATCGAGCGCCGATCGCTTCCGCGGAGACGTGGGCTTGATTGGTCCACGGACGAGGTCGGTGTTATCGCACCTCCAGCAGATGAAGGACTGCAGGAAAAGGTGAACTCGACTGATGGAAGGACTCGATCACGTTTAGGTGAAGGTGAGGGCGTTCTGGGGTTGTCCGCGTTGCCATCCATGACGCCGTTATGTGCGCAAAGGAAACGTAGCCTGGAGAGTGGAGATATGTTTTGAGAGATCCGTAGGCCATGACAGGCGTTTTTATCTGGAAGATCACACGGAAAGAAACGGGGACTAAAGCTGTGGGCCGCATCTGTTGCCGGTCTGAGCATTATTAGTGGTGAATGATGTGGCGCGAGTTGACTGCGCCGCCGGTGGAAATTCCGAAGCTATTTTTGCTTAGCCTGGCGCCAAATGACCGCGACAATGCGCTCAGCCACTGCTAGACCAGAATTTCAATAAGGAAACCTCAGTTAGTTGAGAGTGTTTTGCCGACTTTGGTAAAATCTGGCAACAATAAGTAGCCATCCTGGTCAACCAGGCCCCGGTCCTTGCCGATTCATAAGGTTATGCCAGTACCACAGTCCCATGGTTTTGAAGCCTAAGGCTGTGGCTTGGTCTGGAAATATAGGCTGTAAGGGAGCCTTCACATCCTAAACAATGACTGGTTGAACTTTAGGCAGTACGCGAACGATCGTGAGTTGTCTGATTAACTGGTTTTGGATTGCTTACGGGGAAAGAGCTGAAGCGCAGACCTGACTGAACTAAAACGACCAAGGGGAGAGTCACCTGATGATGCAGCTAAGCACTATCTGCGAACCTACCCCTCACACAACATGCTTACTCTTTCTCCACCCATTCCTTGGTCCGTACGCGAATGATGCTCGTCAGGTATGCAGTCGATAACATTTCCTGGAGTGAATTATGGACTCCAGGTTGGTGACAACTCTGGCCATATTTCCGCCGAGTTCCACCTTCCTCCAGGTCAGTCCAGCCCCCCAACCGTCAGGACCAGTGTGACTAAAGCCAGGCTGCTATTTCAGTACGACCTGAAACACCACCAAAGCCCTTCTCCACCATCCCATTTGCTCGAGATGACGACTACGTTGCCTGTGGCTCGATACTAGACGAGATCCAAGCGAGGTGTGCAAGACCAGCGTCAAGGACAGCGCTTGTGGGGCTGGGTGGTGTTGGGTAAGCTGTGAGCCCCGATCGCCTCATCGTCTGCTGACGTTCGAAAGGAAATCGCAATTAGCAATTGAATACTCCTATCGTGTGCGCGAAGAATCGCCTGATACGTGGGTTTTCTGGGTCCATGCTAGTAACGCATCACGTCTTGAGTTGAGCTACCGAGAGATCGCCGACCGTCTCGAGCTTCCTGGACGGCACGATGCTATGGTTAACGTCCTCCAGCTGGTAAACAACTGGCTTTATAATTCGAAGCACGGGAAATGGATTTTGATACTGGATAATCTAGATGATGAGGGTTTGCTTGAGGAGCCGTTGCAAAATGGCCAGACAAACGACGCTGGCAGCCAAACGAGCACACTGAAGAGACCGTTGTTAGGACTTCTCCCTCGCTGTCCTCACGGGGCGATCATCTTCACCACGCGAAACAAGGCGGTGGCACTGAAATTAGTTAGCGACCGCGACATCCTCCACATCAACCCGATGGATGCACCATCCGCACTTGCCCTTCTACGCAAGAAGCTTAGCATCAACACGGCCGATGAGGAAGAGGCGGAAAAGCTTCTCGAAACGCTCGAATTCATGCCACTGGCAATAATCCAAGCCTCTGCTTTCATGCAGTATCATGCTCCGAGGTACTCCATTGCGCGGTACTTGAAGGACTTTGAGAATAATAGTCATATTCTGGACCATGAGGCTGCCCAGCCTCAACGGGATTATGAAGCAAGTAATTCCATTCTGAGAACGTGGCAGATATCCTTCGACTATATCCGACAGTCCAGACCAACTGCAGCAGACCTTCTGTCTCTGATGAGCTTCTTTGATCGGCAGGGAATACCGGAGATCTTACTCAGAAGCACGCCACGAGCGCAGGAAGGAGATGGCAACGTTACCCAGTGTGAGAATGAGTACGGAGTACCGAGGCAAACGGCTGATAGCGCCTTCGAATTCGAGCATGACATCCGTATGCTGAGAGAGTTTTCGTTCATCGCGATCAGGCGAGATCCCCAGATATTTGAGATGCACAGACTCGTCCAACTTGCTATAAGAGGGTGGCTGGAAAGGGAGGGCCTCGTGTCACGTTGGCAAGGCAGATCCATGAACAGCCTCGATCGCATGTTCCCATTCCAAGCCAAAGATCAACCAAAGTACGAGTTTTTATACCCTCATCTCAATAAAGCAGTCGCCGAAAGGCCAAGCTTACCAACGTTGATGCCTAACTGGATCTCCCTGCTCATGAAAGGTGTGACTCATGCGGCATATTGCAGGGACTATAGGGACATGAAGCAGATGGCGTCAACGCTCAGAGAGGCAAGTGAACAGCTGTTCGGCTCGGGGAACCTGATCGCTACTTTTGTCAATGAGATGGAAGCTCTTGTCTTACAGTACCAACACAACCAGGAGAAGCTAGTAGCGCGCCATCTGCAAACAATCAAGGCATGTCAGGAGCTCGGTGGGGAAACCCATTACCTGACATTAGAGGCCATGGATTCACTCACAGATGTCTACCTCATGCAAGGTCGACTGCAACAGGCCGAAGAGCTAGGAGCCAAGGTACTTCAGAGTAGCCGACAAGTATACGGCTACACTCATCATGTGACAGTATCCGCTTCGAAGACTCTCCGACGAGTTTACATCAGACAGCGGAGATGGAGGCAGGCCGAGGAGCTAGCTTTGCAGGACATCCAGGTCGCGAAGGAATTGCTGGGTGATGAACATTCGAGAACCTTTGAGGCTGTCGAAGAGTTGGGACAACTGCACATGATGCAAGGCAAATGGTATGATGCCGAAAGTCTGCTGATGTCATTGGTAGAAGCAAAAAAGCGACTCCTAGGCAGCAGGAATCCGTCCACTCTAGGTTCGATGGGCCTGCTCACAGAAGTGTACGAGGGTCAGGGTCGACTGGTAAAGGCGAAAAGACTGTATACCCATGTGCTTCAAGTCCAGAAAGAAGAGCATAGGGAGGACGAATCTCTCACAACCAGATTCAGAGCAATTTTGCAACGCAAGCACGATGAATCAAACGAAACTACATCCCTCTACCAACGCATTGTCAAGATTCTCCAGGGGCCTTTGCGTGAGCAAGTGATGGAGCTCATGGTTGCCCCATGGGCTCCAAAAACGACCAGCCTAACAGACCACTTGGGAGCGTTGTACTACAGCCAAAAGAAGTGGGAGGCTGCAGAGAAGGCTTTTCTAAAAGCCCTGACAACTCGGTTGGAGACCTTGGGCGAAGCACATCTTGATACGATTACTACTAAAGGAAACCTCGGGGCTGTATATATCGAACAAATGCGCTGGACAGATGCTGAAGCTGTGTTTGTGCGGAATCTTGGCATGCTTTCCAACCAAAGCCCACGGTCGGAAGAAGGGCTCAGTGCCGAGATCAATGCTAGGATGAAGCTGGGAATCATTTGCGCTAAACAAGAGAGGTGGAAAGACGCAGACATCGAATTCATGCAAGCTCTCGAGAGGAACAGTGAAAGCCAGCGACCTGGGGACGAGTATTCCCCAACTCTGTCAACCGCAATTGGGCTAGAAGCGCGACACTCCGGTGAGAAGCGATTGATGGATGCAGTAAGACGGTTTATGGACTTCATCAACAGCCGGGAATTGACTCTCAGAGAAAAGCACCCACGAGCTGCCGTTGTCAGCAGAAAGCTCCTGGAGCTGATGGTTATGATGCTGAAGCATCTGCAAACAGCGAACGACCGGGAGGTCGCAACGTTAGAGCTCATGAAACAAGCTGCTTCTGTCACAGCTTCTGTCCAACAGATTCAAGACCTTCAAAGTCTGCACACGGAACATTCCCCAGTCTTGGAGAAGGTCGGCTCTATTATACAGACAATGGAAACGCTGATGAGTGAGCTGGATGCCAATCCTCAAGGAGACAAATCTGAGGAATGGAGTTCCTACTTTTGTTGGTTGCTACTAGTTTCCATCCTCGTCGGCGGTCTTGCCTTCTTCCTCTGATAGGACTCCTGCCCGTAGTCCGGCGCCCGTATAGTCAAGCCTCTTTGGGAAAGTCGGCATCTCTAACTATACGTGCAGAGCTACACTTGGCACGGAACAGCATGTCTCTCCCTGCTTCACAAAATCCACCGCATATGACGAGGCCGAACATCTGATGGAACCACACTCCATCATGCCCACATCAGTTCACTCTATGTCTCCGCTTACTACCAGCTTTCCTTCCAATGAGAAAATGCAATTCCAGTCGAGCTGACGATGGAGGACGCTTCGTTGTCAGCATCTGTTACGCCCCTTGGGTCTTCCAGCCCAAAGGCAGCGCAAGCTCTAGGGGCAGATAGCTGCGCCACGACCATCACCAAGGCCCATCAACTCGGACCTCAACCACTGGCTCTGTGGTAATATTGACAACCACGACATGGCCGATTAGATGACTCTTTCGCCTCGACCTCCATTGAAAGCACACCACCTACAATTTTGCCTCTATCTCGTATTCATGTATGGCAAGTACAAGTGAACCTTTTCAAGCGAGCCAGACCTTGTGATTGAAGTGCTGCTCTCCTCGCCTCCCACAATGCATGTGGGAACTACTTACCAGGGTAGATCTAAATCTGTGTAATAAATGTACGTGATATGGTAAGAAAGGGACTAGAATGAATACACATTTTGGACAAGGTTGATGGATTCCCCCAGGCAGCAGGAAGAGCCCGTGTATCGAATGGTAGCTAGATCGCCATTCGATGCGTCAAATTTGATTTGAATCCTACTCAGCACAAAGAACTGCCTTTGGGTGTGGATATTCTTGGCTTATATAGAACCACGATGCCTGGTTGAAGAAAGTAAATTAATGATGCGAGACGCTTCCGAGTCCCACTATCTATTCACGCTACGCCAGCAGGGACTAGAAGACGTAGACTATACTTTATCTCGAGGAGGGAAATTGACAAGACGCACATACACTTCAACGCTCACTCATGAAACCAACCAGCTACAGCCGCATGAAAAGTCCCGACAACCCTACCTGAAGATCAACTTTGTATCTCGAAGATCCCCCTACCCTCCTGAAACCCTCCGCCACCACACCCCTCATGACTTCACAACAAAGATCCCAGAATGCCAGCTGCAATAAGCGTAGATCTCCATCTACTCCCCCTTCAACACAACTACATATAAAGCCCAGTCTCAATCATCCACACCTCAGACCAAAACACCATCATGCCCCAACCTTATCCAACAACCAACCCCAACCATTAATCCCAGAACACCCAAACCACAAACCACAAACCCCAAACCCATCATGGCTACTCCCACCCCCGCCTCGATCGAACCCTTCGTAACGCACGCCCTAACCTTCCACGCGCCCTTCGAACCGCCCAACCCCATTCCGCGAGGCAAACTCCCCCACTGGAACGTGTACGCCGTCCCGCACGGCGCCGAAACCTACAGCATCGAGGTGTGCTGGGTGCGGTGGACGGCGCCCGTCAATTGGGCGGAGCTGGCGCTGCCGGCGCTGAACCGGGGGTTCGAGTACATCCGCACGCTTTACCCGGACATGAAGCCGATGTGGGGGGCGATCTCGATGCGCACGGCGGTGCGGCTATACCGCGAGCGGGTGCGGGAGGAGCCGCACAGGGAGCTCGGAGACGTGCATCGCGCGGGGCTACGCGTGGTGGACCAGTTCTGGCTGCAGGGAATGCGCGAGTGGCATCCTGTCGAGGACCGGGCAATCTTGCAACATTGGGAGAGCCTGATTCCGAAGAATGGGGACGGGGCCGAGGAAGAGGAGGTTCGGCCGAGGATGAAGATGTGGGAGGAACGCATCGGGTTGCAGCCTGGGCTGAATGCTAATATTCGGTGGCGCTGGATGCCTGATTACTCATCCTGGGATCGTTAGCTGTGCTTCGCTTTGTCCGGGGCTGGTTGATGAACTCACAACACAGACAGCAGACCTCCTTCAAAGAAACATAGAAATAGAAAAGATACCCCGGAAGGGGATATCAGAGTCAAATTTTACATTTTCAAAACCAAAGGACCGCTTCCGACGGTACTGCATAGATGTTGTACTTAGGTTTGTGGTGATCCAGATAATAATTTATCGCGTCACAAATTCACATCATCGAGCAATCCCCACATGCGAACACACGGCCAGTGCTTGGCATTCTCGATCGCAATCAAATCAGCAATCAAGATCTCATTCCGCCTGAGGGGTAGACAGTGTCGCTTCTCCTCAGCATCCACCCAATACGACACCCGCGCCGTCACCAGACCGTCGGCCTCTACAAATACGACTCCTCGGGGCCATGGCTCCGCCTTATCATAAATCGACTGCAACTCCTTCTTCATCCCTTCTTCCATAATGTCAGATGTCAGGGTGGCGCTCATGAACCCTTCCTCCGACCGCCAGGAGCGAATGGCTGCAACTCCCCGCGCGCGGACGCCGTAATCCGGACATCGGAAGATGCTGATGATCAACGCTGGCATTATTGCCAGGTCAGCTGTGACGGCGGGATACTCGCCGCCAAATTTGGCCATTGCGTTTTCAGATGCTATGATCAGGGCTTCGCATTCATGAGTCAGGCTCTCGGGCCACAATTCACTTTTGTAGTAGAGAGCCACCTTCGAGGCGAGGATGCCCTGTCGGCAACTGAGCTTGATCAACTCCGCTTCGCGTTGTCCTTTGTTGAGTTGAGATGTGCCATCTGCGCTGTCTGGATATTCCTGTGCACAAAAGATCTCGAATTGGCAGAGAAATCGGTGGAAATACGAGAGCAACAGGAGTTGGCGGTGCTGTAAGGATGCGTAGTCTTCTCGAATATAGTTATCCGATGCCTTGAGATAAAGCGCGGTAAAGAGGAAGTTGGCCTGAGTCAAAGGCTTCAATACCTGTTTTGCATGTCCCAGACTTTGAAAATGCTGCATGTACCTTTCGTACGGTTGTCCAAATACGAAGTGGCTGTCAAAGTCCAACGGGTTCTCGGTGCCATAAAAAACGGACGATTCCTGAAGCTTCAGAAACATCTCCACCACGCAGTTTTCCACCGAGAACCTGCGGCCGGATGGTCCACCGAAGACGGTCTCTTGGCTAAGCTCCAGGCCCGTAGTTTGCCGCTGGATCTTCATCATGTGTAGAATCTGCAGTCCCCCTTGGATGTGAAAATTAGCATGGTTGCGATTCCCATGGAGTAGCTCGCAGATCACGAAGAGTAGACAGCAGACAAGGATAACCTCCTGCAGGTGGGGATCTTGTGACATGCGTCTTTTGTTCAACAGTGTGATCGCACGTCCAGACTGTTCAAGCGCAAACTGGTACCATGTATTCTGCAAATGCACAGTACTCTGTCCAGCGCGGGGAATACAGCCTGCGATCTCGTTGGCCTGGTTGACGGCCCCCAGAGCAATTACCGCGTGATAGATGGCGGGCTCTTGGTAGCATAGGCGGAAGATCACCTGCTGCCACAGAGGTGAATCATAAAAGCCAACCAAGTGCTCTACCGATCTATGTTGAAAGAAAGACAGGCATCGGCGCTCGTCCGAGGTAGCCGTCCACTGCAGCTTGCGGGTCATGTCGGCGGTAATGGTGAAAACTGGAACAAGATTTCCAGTCTTACGTCGGCCACCCCCCGGAATAAGTCTGTGTACATCGTATCCGTCGCAAGCTCTACTAGAACTGGTGCAGTTGTTGCAGGCGATAGGTGTTTCATCGCACTTGACACGACGAGCACTGTATAGTTTGAGTCTTAGTCACAGCTGACATCCACGGCGTGATACAGGAAATTATGACTTACCGACAAGTACGACAACCCGTACGAGATCGTTTCGCGAGAGCTTTCTTACGTGGGTTGATCATGATGTTTTTGGTCTCGGTGTGTCGATTCGCCGGTCGATAGTTGTCAGAAGATTAAGGGACATCGTGTACTTTTTAAAGCTGAGAACCAAGGTTTTCCCAGAAAGAGGCCAAATAAGTGCGTACAGGGGGGTATGGCCGGTAGCCAATCATTGCAATACACGAGTAATTCAATAATATGCTGGAAAGGCGCCATTGCTTGCCTAACGGAGACGACAGTAGTTAGTCATGGTTAGATCGAAGCTAACTTCAGGGAACAGGATTTGTATCGATAGCGATGCCACCCGATCGGATTGCAGAGATGCAACATACCTTTTACTATCAGGCGCAAGCGCTGCAACTGCTGATAGTTCTATGGTGATTTAGAAAACACACACTTTATATTCTATCACTCTGGGTTGGCTTCGTAGTTAGTGATGGAAGTTCCATGCCCCATACCAGGAAGGATTCGAGATCGGGTCTAACGAGTGGGGCAACAAAATCCAGACGACGCAGCCAATTATCGTCCACGAATCTGTCTGACAGTGATCCACATTGAAACTCAATGTCATTGTTTTGTGAGGGGAAGGAAACAAGCGGAAGTGCAGCTTTCTATCAGGTTCATGGAATGATGCTTGGTAGAAATCTGACCGCGTCGAGTGTGCCGGTCACCTTCAACGTGATTAGAAAGCAGCCAGCTCCCGAACAGCATGCCGATGCATAGATGCAGTGTAGCAGCTGGTGTGTATGCCAAGAGATTGGCTTACGCCCGGGGGATATATCCATACGAGAAGCACATGAGGGTTGGGGCAAAAGCATCTTGCCATTGCGTTGTATCCACACTATCGTGCACTTCGTTCTCGAACCGATAAACCTTGAACAATAAGCCAAGGGATCCGGTATGCTTGATGGGAGTATCATGACCGCACTGATCATTCTTGCATTGTTTGACTTATGCTGGTGGAGAGCATAAGAGACCCGTTCAACGATGGGCTTGCCATAGACCTGCAGGATTATTTCTAGCCCGCAGCTTAGAGTGAATGCGTTCTTGTAAGTCACAGCCCCCTCGAGATAAACCAATGTTGTTCGAAGGCGAGGGAATAGCCCCGGGGACTCGGCGGTAATGGATTTGCCCTGATTATGCAGGATTCTGATTGCCTTCCTTATTTTCCGAAGGTGAGCGCAACTATTGTAACAAGTCCGGATCCCTTTCGTGTTAGATCATCCGCCTAGCACATTTTCTTTGCAATAACGGTCAACTCGAAAGCACTTATCTTGATCGAGAGAGCTCTCTTACTTTGCAGGCATGGACGTTTTTCAGGCATTCCTGCCGAGAGTGCTGGTTTTTGTTGTCGTGCAAGATTAAGGATCAACTGGCCATATTACGGACTGATCGTCAGGGACAATTCAAGGACTGCATGGAGAGAAATAAAGGCTTGCCGCATGCAAAGACAGAAAGATGATCCCGAGAAAGCCTTGCATAGTGGGAATCAGAAATGTGGTGTTGTTCCGTAAAGTGTACGGGTCGCACTGGAAAGAGTAGCTGCTATGTTGGGTCACGTGGCTGGGATGCTGAGTTGTAGACACTCCTCCGTCCTCCTTCCATCTGCACCATCTGCACCATCCGTTCGAGGCCACCATTTCGTTCAGATCGTGTCCGGGCATCGACACTTTGTTGACCACCAGTGGACCTTATCTTTCCTACGAACCTTCTCATCGTTCTCTCGGCAGACATTTCCCATCTTGTGATGCGCACAGATGATGTGCCTCGCGATACGTGAGATGTGCTATAGCACCTGGACCGAGGGAACATGCGGAGCAGTGCCAGGGGACTTGGGTGAGTACAATCTGATGGGCCTATCCGTGCATTATCAGGTGATCGAAATCTGACTGTCAATCAAGAGGTACCGACCGGGGCTGTCCTTGATTTCGCGCAAATCCTCATTAGTACCTGACGGTCAGAGCGCAGGCACGGTCTATATGCCGCCATATTCGGTCGCAACAAATCGCTGAACTCGCGCAATGCTATTATGGATGTCTCCAATTGATGAATGTGGCATGTTGATGTCTAGTGGATGAACAAATCATTCACCCCGAGTCGTGGCCATTAGCTGGTCCAGAACCTGAATTTTGTTGACTCGTGGATTGTGACAACCGACCACGGCTGGTCTTCTTTGTTCACTTGGCCTTGGCTCGGTTCGTGCAATTTATACCTTCCGGACCTGTTCCGCCCTGACCACATTTCCTTTCTTTGTTGAAAAAAAGGTCCCGACTGCAACCAACCCAACAATAAAACCGAACCATGGGTCTGCATCGTCCCTGCTTTGGTGTAGCCATTCAGCATCTCGTCAAATATCACAATGGCTGCATCCTCGCGTCCGATAACGTCGCTTGTCTTGATGGACCTTTTTGGTGTACTGGGCGCTCTCATCATGATCCTGAGACTGTTTCTGCGCAAGTATCGGCACCAGCGATTTGAAGCGGCCGACTACTGCACCGTTTTCTGTTTGGTGACGCTTCTTGCCTGCGTGACTTTGCTCACTGCGATAAGCGTCATCACCTTGACTCGGGACGCCCGCCTCCAAGCCCAACAATTCACAGATAAGTTGCTCGAAGAGCAGTTGCTGAAGAATAAAATGCTGGTGGCGCATCAAGCTATATTTCGTGCCTAGTAGGGTTCCTACGAAGTGGCTGACAGGGCGGTTGCTGACAGTTCTAGTCTTTGGGGCCAGAAGGCCGTTGTTCTCCTGTTTATCTCGCGCGTCCTTGAGGGTCTCGCGTGGCCCTTTATCTTCGTTCGCATCAACTGGGCAATACTACTACTGAGTTTTGGGGGTGTGGAGCTTGAGATGTTCATGGTCTGTGATTACCGCAAGAAGAGTATGATTCCTGCTTTTGATTCGGATGTCGAAGTCACTAAGTGTGTTGTATCAGAGCCTTGCCTCGGACGTGTCGGAAACCTCGTCGCCTATATCCTGCTCAATGGCCTTACAGACCTGATGCTCATTGTGCTCCCTCTTCCATGGCTGATTCGGGTGAAAAGACCCTGGCATCGGTAGATCATCATCCCTCCCTAAGCCTTCCCTGAGACTCTCATCTAATCACTCTAGCCGCCTTCAACTCATCGCCCTTTTCTCGGTTGGCTTCCTCTGCATCATCGCAACCATCCTCCGCGCCCCCATCCACGGCGACACCCAAGACCTCGTGGGACAAGGCTACTGGACTGCCGTCGAGTTTATTGCGTCGGCTATCGTTGCCAACTTTCCCACGCTATACAGTCTACGCCGTGCAAAAAAGCCAGAGACCCCGATCTATCCCGACAACCCCTACCCAGCCCGACGAGGGGGCTCCAAAATCCGGTCTGCGACGAGTATCGAGCTGCAGGAGTCATTAGACATGGATCACCTGGATGCCGACCCACGGATGAGTGGGAAAATCACCAGTCAAGCGAGCAACGAGCCATTGTTCTTCAAGGATTCGGAGACGGAGAGTCTCCGGGTCGAGGGACTTAGGTCTAGAGGTTAGGTCTTTTGGAACTTGAGTATGAGGCTTTGTGGCATACTGGCGTGAGGTCATTGGACAACGATGGTATTTTGGGTACAACCTGACGTAAATCTAGCGTCTTGCGAATAGAACTTGGTGGAGGATATATACTTCGGGCATCGTTGCGTAGGGTACGTTACGCCTAGCCCTTTCTTTTTGGTGCCATATAAATTTGGAGCATAATACTCATTTTTGATCACGATTACATATTTGACTTTTCATCGTGTCTAGCTACTTAATCTTAGGTTCCCTCGTTCGAAAGTTAGTAGCAGCTACTCTCGTCGTCGTTCGTGTTGTTCTACGACCTTGCTGTCCGGGCGCGATGTGCCTTTTTGCCTCGTTGCCTTAGGGCTGTTGCTTCACTGTTAAGGCATTATACGGCGTCAGTCAGTTTACGCCCGCGAATGGTCGATTATAGGCTCACGACAGACCTTGAGAACATGCTCAGAGAAGACTAAGCACCTATTGAGACACAAAGTTAGACTATTCTGTCTGAGTACATTTTCACTGAGGCACGGATCAAGGACTAACCACTGAGTCTACTTGCAGTCGAACGCATCGCAACTATCGGTAAATACATTCGGATGCACACTGTCGAACAAACAAACCGGGGCACGTACTTAAGATCATCGTATCTCCACAAAGACATATCTGGAATCCCCAGCACCGAACAATCAAACGTCGACCACATTACCGAAAGTCTCCGCCACAAATCCCATCAACCGACGATCGTCACCCCAGATAAAGCCAACAACAGTCTATATAAGACCAGCCCTGACAACACAAAGGGCCCTCCCCCTCTTCCTCCCATCCCCCACCCATTCCATTGTCCCAAGCCTCTCGTAAGAAACCCCAACAGGACAAAGATGGCAGTTCCCAAAAGATCACCGCCAAGTCGCTCTCCAAGCCCAACGCGACGACCGCCACCTCCATCCCCACCACCACCACCCCCTCCATCACCAAACCGGGACCCAATTCCACCCCCACCCCCTCGACCCGCACCAGAATCCACCGCCAACGACAACGAAGCCAACAAAGAGAACGCCGCCCCAAAAGAAGAAGGCGAGCTCTCCCCGGAGCCGACGAACTACACGCTCGCCGACTTCACCTACCCCTCCTTCGACGTGCTGCTGCACCCGATCGCCCCGCGGACGGAGACGGTAAACCTGATCTTCCCCCGGTCGGGCCCGTTCTGGCAGTGGGAGGACGCGGTGCAGGACCTGCTGCATTGCATCCGGGAGCAGCGGGAACTGCGGCCGCACGCGGCCCCGTTCGGCGGGTCGATCTACTGCGAGGGCCTGATCCGGTTCTTCATGGAGGTGCCCCCGACAATCCCCGGGAGTGACTCGTACATCATGCAGTTCCATCATCGGGGCTACACGGTGTTCGACACCGAGTCGACGGAGGTGACGGCGGCGTGGATGCGCACGCTGCAGGTGAATCCGTCGTTTGAGGAGGAGTGGGCGGACGAGATTTTGCGGTTTCTGTTGGCGTGTGCGCAGCTTGCGGTGCGGAATGGGTGGGTTATGGATTATAGGGAGAGCAAGAAGAGGGGATAGGTTCTCTCCTTGTTTTCTTCTTTGGTATGGGGTATAGCATGTAAGATCAAAAATATTACATTATTTGAGTCGTTAAATATCTTTGTTTTATGGTAAAATATTGGATCTTCTGGTGTGGAGGGCTGGGTTTGCTTCGGTGTATATTCCTTTATGATTGCATTTGTGTGTCTAGAGCTAATCCCCCCCGCCCAAGCTGATACTGTAGAGCAGACTCGAATGTCAGATAAAACCTACTCAGCCAAGAACGGCTAGTCTAATGCTACATAAATAAATCGAGACTGATTTCTTTGTCCCTCACGCCTGAAAATCCCAAGTGAACCGAACAGTCTTTTGGGAATCGTGGCCCTACAACAAAGACCCAATCAATGAGTTGTCAACACACAAAGCCCTACTTCCACTATACCGTAAGTCTCCACAAAAAGCCAAACAAACATGAATGTCACCATCACCGACTCCATCATCAAGCAACCCACTATATAACCCGCGTCCCCAATCCACTCAACAATGACTTCAACCCCAACTCCCTCCCTCTTCCATACCCAATCCACCCCCACCACGAAAATCGCCAAAATGCAAGAAACCTACACCTTCGAACTGAGCACCATCACCCCAACCCAACAAGTTGTGATCGTCGCCCCGGAGACCCGCGAACTAGCCGCGCAGACCTTCGACTGGGAGATCCTAGAGCACCGCCTGCGGGCCGTCTTCCAGAAGCTGCGGGAGATGCAGCCGCAGGCGCCGCTCTTCCACGGGATCATCCACGCCTTCGAGCATGTGCGGTGCTATCGCGAGCTGTCGCTGGGGGAGACAGGCACTGGCCAAGCGGTATATCGGTACGAGTTCGACGGAGAGCCCTCGCTGGACTGCGTGCTGGACATCGAGTTCCTGTATGGCTGGTTGGTGCGGCTGCCGCGGGGTTGCCCGTTGAGGCTGGATGATTTCCCCTGTGCGACGATGGCGGCGCAGGCGTTGGAGGTGCGGTTTGGGGGCACGTCTTCGGTTGTGTAGTGTCACCGTTGGTAGTTAATGCATGATGCATGAGGCCGTGATAGCCAGGCTGTTCACTGCGCCACGGATGGTTCTGCTCTGGTGGGCCTACGTAGCTGCTTCATCACTACCCCACGTCCCATATCCGAGTTCTTTTTACAATGAAAACCGTTATTTCATTTTTTTATATTCGTCTTGATGCGTAATTACTCAGCTGCGGTAAGTTGTCTGGGCGACCTTTTCGCTGAGTCAATCCTTCTTTGGAGCTTAGTTACTTATGTCATCGACAGCAGCGATACGGCTGGCTGGAATGCGTCTAGGGCTCTCGTTCCGTCTGCATCCGAGTACCCAACTAGATAGCCAACACTGCCTCCAGCCACCCTCAAGATAATACTGTGTTTCAACAACGCATTGCATATCCAGGCATCAACTTACATCTGCACCTATCAGATACCAGCATTTCCTGATTACCCTGGTAAACAAAGTTCCCCGCCCCACCAGTGCCGATCTGCAACAGCGGGTTCGTACTCGTACTCGGCACCGTTTTGAGCATCGCTTACCGCCATCAGCGCATGCGCGATAACCATGAAACTGCATTGTAACAGGCCCAAGACTATTGGCGCATCCAATTCGTTGCCTTGTTTGGGATACCCTTTCATGATCTGAATGGCATGTACTGACCAGTGACTGCATCATCATTGCGAATGGTAAGCTCCAGGCTGGAACAATGCCTGTATCCACAGAGCCAGCGCAGATAAATACCCTGCTCTCCCTCTGCCTCTTGCTATGTGTCCTCCTGTACAAGGCATCAACACTGCAACGAAACAGTCACTCACCATGAAGCTCGCCCTTCCCATCACTCTCCTGCTAGGTCTAGCCAGCGCCCATCCCCATTACGGGGCGGCAGACATCTCCCACTGGCAACCAGCCGGAGCAGACGACTGTACGCCGCTCCCCAACCCAGCCACCAGCTAACCACTGGCATCCGACTGACAACAACCACAATGGAAAACAGACCGCGGCCCCTGCCCAATGATGAACACCCTCGCAAACCACCACCTCCTCCCGCACGACGGCCGCAACATCACGCGCCCCCGCCTCATCGAAGCCCTAGGCGCCGCGTTGAACTTCACCTCCTCGCTCGCATCGCTCATGTTCGAGATGGCCATTGTCGTGAACCCCGAGCCCAACGCGAGCTACTTCACCCTGTAAGCCACCGATATCCCCCGGACCACACTCACTAACAACGCATTGCAAAACAAGGGACCAACTCAACCAGCACAACATCCTCGAACACGACGCAAGTCTTAGGTCAGCATGACCCCTCCCCCTACACCCCCAAGTCAACCTTCCATTCCATTAACAAGTTACCAGTCGAAGCGACGCCTACTTTGGCAACAACCACATCTTCAATGCGACCATCTTCGCCCAAACCCGGAAGTACTGGACGGACCCCACCCTCGACGCCGCCATGCTGGCCAACGGCAAGCTGGCGCGGCAGGTCGAGTCCAAGGCGTTCAACCCGACGTACACGTTCACGGCCCGAACCGAGGAGTTCAGTTTGGGCGAGGTGGCGGCTCCCATTATCGCGTTCGGGGATATGGGGACGGGTCGGGTGAATCGCTCGCTGGTGGAGTACTTCTTTGGTATGTTGCTCTTGCATTTTGGGTTTGGGGGGGGGATTGGGGTGTCATTGTGCTAACAGGGCACTGCACTGGGTAGAGCATGAACGGTTGCCGGTTGAGTTGGGGTGGCACACCCGAGGAGAGGCGGTGGGTGTGGAGGAGGTGAATGCGGTGGCGAATATGATCCGGAATGCGACGGGGTTGATTACACCGTCGGAGGTAGCGGTCGGGTCGGGGAAGAAGAGGGATTTGCATTCTGGGTGGCGGGGTTAGCTCTTCGTATCTTCAGGCTGGGGAGTGGAAGGTGAAAGGTAGTCGGAAATGTTGTAGCGGATATTTGGGAGAAGGAGAAATGGGTGCTTGTGAGCATGGGATAGTTTGTCTACTGAAACTAGAACCAAACAAGAGATGTATCTATAAGCTAAGGTAGTCAACCGCTTATCTACTAACTCACCGTCCGCTTATGATTTGTTCTCACCCGCATACTATCAGCCTATCAGTGAACTATCACATCTACCCAATTACCCAACCAGCACTGAACCCAGCACTACTACCTAACCACCAATAATAACCACCCTCGGCACCTCAGCTGTGCCAGGCTGTTGACCCCTGAAATTTCCCCGAAATGTCCACCCTCTTCCGAAAAGGAATAGCGGAATGGACCCCTGCACCCCGCCAAGCCACCGTCCGCTTGGCCTCCCTTGGCGCTCCGCCACCTCACCCCGCCAAACCCTTCGTCTGACTCGTCCACTCCCGCGATCACGAGCTATCTAACTCATTGCAGATACAGGTGCGCCTGCCACACCACCGATCTAATCCCACCAGGGCAAGGTTTGGATGCCACCAGTGGGACACACCAGTGGGAGACAGTAGGTACGGCCCGTGAAATTTGAGGAGCCAACCAGAGGAAGCTGCGCGCTGTACAGTACCCATGATCGTCTAGAGTGTGGGTGATGTGATGGTTCGAACGAAATACGAGGCGGTGGTGTTGGGCTCGTGATTCGGGGGATGGCTTCAGCTTCAGCTTGGCGATGCGAGGCGTCGTCCTCGGGAATGGAGATGAGGAGGTATAAATTCACCTCTTTCTCCCCAGTTGGGAATAGGCGAGCATACGAATCCGCTCTCGTGGGTGCGGTTGTTGGTTTTCTTGGTGCTGGTGCTGTGTTTGGTGCTTCGGGTATCTGTTCGATTTGAGTTGGAGGGGTTCTGTGAGCTGGTTGAGTGGCACCTATAGGGTTTTACTTATGTACTGTACCCCTCGAGATAGTTTAGCCGGGCGGGCTGGTGCACCGCTTCGTCAGAGGTGGACAATGTTTAGTATACCAACAGCAGTAGCCAATGGACTGGACTGTCCCAATCCGCTTCTCTACACTATTCGCAGCCAGCCAAGCTTACTCACGGGAAAATGTATCACACCAGACCTTCTAATTATTTTCTAGGATTATAGAATAAAGATTCAACTACTAATACACACTCCACCAAAGCAGATTATACCTTGCCCCCCCAAAGCCCCATGACTCGCACTCGCCCAGAAACCATAGCCATCAACCATGGTAAGCATCTAGCAAGAAGCGCCGCTGGGGACGTTCTTGCAAGACTTCTTGTCCTTGCCACCGGAGATATCAACGCCCTTCCAGGTCCAGTCAGCGCAGGAGCCGGAACCGCACAGGATGTAGACAGGCTGGGCGGAGCTCTTGACGGAGCCGGTGACCTTGTTGATGGTGACATCCTTAATGGGGATGCTGTTGGAGGGGGTGCCGGTAGGAGAACCGTTCTCGTAGTCCTGCTCGATGACGATGCCGTACTTGGCGATGTTCTCGAGCTGGATGTTGTCGTAGGTGATGTCGGTGACGGAGCCGGTCTTCTTGTAGATAGTCTTGATGCGGACGCCGTTGTCGGAGTTGACGACGTGGCTGTTGGTGATGTGCACGCCCTTGACGACGTTGTTGTCGCGGCCGCCGACGGAGCCGATCGACAGGCCGTGGCCGCCGGAGCAGTAGCCGCTGTCGAAGTAGATGTTCTGGTGTCGTTAGTTGGTCCTAAAGCATGAGTGAACGAAAGGGGGGCCCACCTCGCCGGAGTTGATGGCCAGGCAGTCGTCTTGGTTGTAGACCTTGGCGCCGCTGATGTAGACGCCGTTGGACTCGCTGATGTCGAAGGCGTCGGTGTTGTGACCGCCCTTGCTGTCGCCGGCAGAGTTGTCGATGGTCACGCCCTCGATGTGCACGTCGTTGCCCTGCACCGAGATCGCCTGCACCGGCGTGTTCTTGATGTGCAGGTTCTTGACGTACGAGCTCTGCAGCTTGTGCGCGTACATGAATTTGGGCTTGGTCTTGCCGCCGTTCGTGCCCTTGCTGTCCCACCAGCGCTCACCCTGGGCGTCGATCACGGCGCCCGAGGCAGCGGTGAAAGTGACGCCCTCGCCGCCGAGGCGGATGAGGGGGCCCTTCCACTCCTTGTAGCCGAAGGTGGTGGTGCCCTCGAAGGTGACCTTTCACGCAGTCAGTAAAGGGGGGTGGCACATTGGAGTGGAGGCACATACAGTGGAGCCCTTCTTGGCACCGGACAGATCAAGGGTCTGGCCGGCGGGGACCTTGATGTTCTTCAGGATCGAGCTGGAGCACTTCTTGACACCGGCCTTGGCGGAGGCAGCATCGGTGAAGGTGCAGGAGGATCTCTCGACGAGATCTCTCTCAGCAACATCGTGGGGGGCAGGGGCCGCAACGGCGAGGGAGCCGAGAGCGGCCAGGGTGAGGAGATCGAAACGCATGGTGGATTAGTTTTTTATTCTGATCAACAGAAATCGGAGTGAAAGAAAGAATGACTGAAGGTCTGATCTGATCAACAGAAAGGAAAGAGTGAATGAGAGTGAGAGAGAGTGTGTGATGAGAGTAGTGGAAGACCGGGTTTTTCGCGAAGCTTTATAGTAGGGACGTATGATGGTAGGGTCCCCCAGGGCCAGGGGATGATATCCGCACCTCCACCAGTGGTGTCAGTCTCTAACGGTGGCGTGAAGAACGAACCCTGCTTCAGGAGACGGTTCCTGAGAGCAACTGCCTGCATTGCCGGAGTTCCTGCGGTGGAGGAAGCTCGGCAGCTTCGTCGCAGCTTCACTTTCCCGCTCCACAGTGGAGCAAGCCAAGAGCCAGCTCCTCAAACGGTCTGCTCCCAAGCCCAGTGAAATCTCAGGTGATTTGTCAGGTTTCGAGCTGAAATCATTCCCAGGCAATTTTTAATGCTGGGCCTTCATGTGCTGTTCCTTCACATTACCTAATTTCGAATCTTCGAATGTTCCATGCCTGGTTATGAGGGAAGAATCGAACGAACAACCCCGATCTCCCAGCATGGTGATGCATCAATCGTTTGAACCATGATATCACCTCCCAAAATTCTCTAGATGCAGTAAAGTCAACAGCCGAACCCCATCTCGGCAACAATAAACATCTAGGCAGCAGCAGCAGCAGCAGCCCCCCCGGGCCCTCCTCGGCTAACTCCAATCTAGGGCAACAAATTAAACCAGGGTCCGGGCGGTGTGTGTGCAATTTCCGCGGCCCCTCCCCAAGCCTGCCCAAGCCTGCCCAAGCCTCCCCCAAGCCACTAAAAAGCTTGTCTCGGCGCGATGGTCGGGAAACCTGCTTCTTCGGGGTTTCTTCCAGCTTGGCCCTGCAGGCACGGGCCCCACATGCACCTGAAAATCCGGGTATTTCGGACCAGCGCCCAGGACCCCTGATTCATTTGGCCCGCCAGGGTGCCAGAGAGAGAACTTTTTGGTTCGAGGTGGACGGTCCAATCGCCGGATCATCCGGAAGGGTTCACATTTCACCACTGCCCGCCCGCGGGTTCCGGGCTACGGGTACGATCCGTCTGCTTGCTCCAAGCTCTGGAAAATCCTCTCCCATCTCAGCGGCACACTGTACCCAAAGATCTGCCCGATGAGTATTCCACTGGTGAAAGCAACTTTCCGTCGCCGGTTCTGATAAGATGTAAGACTTGCCCAGAAACCCCGTCCCACGCATCAGCAACACCAAGCCTTGCAAGGTTCCCATCCCACCCTTCAGCCGGACCCAGACAACCACTCATAACAGCCGTCGATATAAGGTTATCCAACCTAGTTCGCTTTCGGGAAATACACAACGAGCAATCAACCGGCAGTGAAATTTGGGGAATTACACCAGAGACAACCGGCGGTGAATGGGCAAAATAGATTAAAGGGAGACGATTTAGATTAATCCCCCCATCCCCCCCTCCAATCCCCTTTCCCCCTCACTATCAGTTTTCGTGACTGCATCCAGGCGATTCGCTTGGCTAAGACAGCACCGCACCAGCATCGGAAGTGCCGCGGCTGGCCCGTGGTCGGTGGCCTTCTCGTGCTCCTCGACACGAGTGAGTTGGACTAACTCATTCCAAATCCTGGGTAATTTAAGTAACCTTAGGATGAGACATCTAACGGTATTTGGCAGTAGTTTGGGGCGGGTTGTTCTGAATGGCATGTTGTGGCAGGTTGCAGTGCCAAGGTGTCTGGACTCTGGACTCTGGACTGTGGACCTTGTGGGTTTGTTGTGGGTGTGGGTGAGGGTGTGGTTGGCTCGGGTGATGCGCTAGGCAACTGTTACGATGACAGCAGATGCATGCATGATTTCTGAATAGAACGTGGAGACGTCGAGGGTACCCCTTGTCGCACGCAGGATAAGCAGGGCCTCAAGGATACGCTGAGCAGCCCCGTCTCCTGCTGTTTTCTTTCTTGGGAATTTTTCCTCCGATAGGACAAAACCGTCCTCCGGTAATGCATCTCAGCTCCGTCGGCACCTGACTGCATGCAAAGGGTCAACACAGGAGGGTAATCTTGTTGTGCCCGGGATTTCCAAACTGAACAGCTTTCCCATTCCTACAATCCGACAGGAACACAGCGGCCTACGTCACCTCTTCGGCGAAGGCGCAGGAGCTAAATGATTGAAGACCATACGTCCGACGTCCCCAGCAGATCCTTTGAATCATTGTCATGACATTTGAACTAAGTATAATTGGTATTCAGAGGTCCGCTTTCCAGGCAAGAATACAGGAACCGAGACCGAGCATTTCGCCTCCGCACATTTTCGGTGAAAGAAGGTCCGATTGTCCGATTCCAAGGCCTTCAAGGACTGTTGAGCCGTCCAAAGGATAGGCCAATTGTGCGGGTGATGCTGTGTACAGTCGGGAGGGGTTACGTTGACTGCAAGTACCTCCTCAAGAATTATCGTGGCGGATCAGATTTCGGATGTGTTGTCCATGAGTGGATGGAAAGAGCCCGGAATCCTTGTTCAGGACATGGTATGGTCGGCGGCTAACCCAGTTGCGCCATGTGCTCGACTCAGAAGGGGAGCAGC